AGTTAGGGGCCTCGGCTGAGACCTCTGGCACAGGCTGTGGATTTATACAGGCAGAGAAGCCAAAACAATGAGCTCATAGGCAAGAATGCAGCCAGTGGAGAAGTCTGGGCAGTCAGAGCAAACTGGTTTTTTGAACCAGGATGGCAATCGCTGTAAGTCTCCCACGGGAACAAGATCAGGGAGAGTAGAGCCACCATTCAGTATCTGGAGGATCAGTTAAATAACTATGGGGGAGGGGAAGTGGTTGTTCCTTATTAAAATTCTGTTCTGCGGAGAGCATAGATAGCACTCAGTCCGACATTCCATGGTTATGTAAACCTAGGTGGGGAAGATGACACAAAGGTGGTGAAATGTGTGAGCTATCCCAGGTGATGCTTTGAGGACTTTATTCAAAGCAGGCCTGCCAGTGCCAACACCTGCACTCACAATCCTAAAATGTGTTCAGGGCCACAATTTTAACATGATAGTTAACCATGAAGACTACCTTTACTTCTCAAGTAAATACAATGCACCGTCATTTACACCAAATTCAGACCTCTAAGACAAAAAAATATATCTTTTTTCCTCACGTTTCCCAAAATCCTATATAATAAAAGCCTAATATGCAAATTGTCCCCTCAACTGGGAGCTCGACTGCTTGCTATGACCACCAGGGCTGACCACCAGGAGGTGATGAGAAACATGGCGGGTGTCCGCAACACAGTGCTGGCAGTGGAGGCACTGCTGGGTGTGACAGGAGCAGGATTGCGGCGGGATGGTGGAGTAGGTGAGCGGGCAGTGCCAGGCCAAGGCAGGTGTGAGCTGGGCCTGATTGTCCCAATGATCGCCCCAGCGGCAGTAGTGGGGGGCGGGGTCACTGCCCAGCTCCCAGGTGCTGAGGGTGACCACAGGGCCCGATGACTCAGGTGGAAGAGGGCATGCCGAGGCCCAAGTGCTGCCCAGGGCTCAAAGGTCAGCTGGGACCCGCCCTTCCATATCAGACACTCATGCTTCAATCACTGGCCAGGCCCAGGAACCACACCCGTGCATGAATTTCATGCATCAGACCTCTAGTTTTTTTTATATAAGGCCCCAAATAGCAAAAACTGAAGAGATAACATATATTCACTGGTCATGTATGACAAAGGGGAAGGAAGGCAGGGAGGAAAGATGAAATGATAAGAAAAAATAATCTATAAAACTCTCCCTCCTGGGTATGTATTAGGGGGGGGGGGCAATGTTAAAATATGTACACAGATAATAATTTAATAAAAACAACAATAACAACAACAAACTCTCCCTCCTACAGCTGTAGAAGTTCTTTCTCAACTCTGTGCATGTTGTTTCCACTCATTCTTTAAGGTCCAACCTCAAACGTTTCGTTTCAAGCCTTCTTGACCACCCTCAAGTTGTCCCCTTGCTGTGTCCCATCTTATTCTTATACTACTTTACCACAGCAGTTTTATGCAGTGTTCTACTTATTTTTGTCACCCTAATTGTGAGCTTTAATATTCTGCCACATTTGCTTTCTCATTCTAGTTATGCAAATTTTTCAGAATATATCTCCTAAAAAATACATTCTTACATCACAATACAATACACTCTTAAAATTTAACGCTGACACAGTATATCTAACAAATTGCCCATATTAAAATTTCCCCAATTGTCTCATGTCCTTTATACTTCTTATTCATTCAGGATCCAGAGATTACCTTGTATTTAGTTGTCATTTCTTTTGACTGTTCCCTGTCTTTTCTGACTTTCTTAAAGCATTACTCCCTTTATAATTCACACATCCAATAGTGCATAGTACACAATAAGCAGTCCACTGCAACGTAATGGGATTGAGACTCAACATTTGGTTGCCTACAGCTCATTCAATGTTCCAGCTCATTGCAGTGTTAAAGAATCTATACAAACAGATCTAACACCCAAAGATCGGCATGGGTGGGTGGGGCACATGCTAAGGACTCTAGTTTTTAATAAACTAAGGTAATCCCTGAACAGGGAGTGAGAGAAAGCAAAGTAAGAATACAGAAACCAATGGCAGAAACATACTATGAAAATGGTTATTTGCAAGGGGTAAAACACCACACTTCGCAACAGCCAGGAACTACTTTTAACCAGGTAAGGAAAGGAACTCTTTAAGAGACACCAGGTACAGTGTGGGAACAAGTTTGCCACTCATATATGTGTCTATTTTTTACTTCACAAGAATCTTTAGTAAAAAAACACTGAATTCTCAGAAAGGTCATCTACTCCTGCCTGGAGGCAGATTCCCAACCCTCATCTTTCCACATGCTTCACATAACTAAGCGAACACTGTAACTTTAAAACAAAAGAGGGACAAAGTTTTCAAATCTTGAATCCCAGCACCCTTGGAACACTGTGGGACGGTTCAAGAAGACAAAGTTCTGTAATCACTGAACAAGTGGAGCCAACTGAAAACTAGGATAAATTAAGACTCAATGGATCATCTTGAAACCCAGGAATTAATGGCCTATGTTCTGGGAATCTGGCTAGAACTAGTTATTCCACTTTAATTTTTGTAAAATTTCCCACTTGCCAATATCTTTAAAGAAAATTTTCTGAAAGTGTGAAAGGCAGGCTCTAGTCACAAAACAGGAACTGAAAAGTCTGGTTGTGTCAGATGAAGGGAAGTGTTGATTATTTTTACTTGCTCAGTGACTCATGGTACCTGGTTACCCAAGTTTTTGGGGTGTTCCACTAAGGAATATTGCCACAGACATGGCTTCACGTCAGAACATATAACTGGAAATGTAGTTCTCCTTAGACTCACGTCAGAACATATAACTGGAAATGTAGTTCTCCTTAGACTCAGGCCAAGCAAGATTTGGGCCCTTGTGTCCTAATACCCTCCCCCTCCACCCCGCTCCTTGGGTATGCACTTGTACAAAAACTCCTTTCTTTGCAATAAAATGTGTCAGTTATGGGGGAAAGCAGAATCCTGCTCACACATTAGCATTTTGTGCTCATGACTTGAAACCAATATGCAAACCTCATATTTGCACAATTCCATGGTGACTCTAAGCTAGCAGAAAATACAGGACAGCATTTCTAAAACTTACTTGCTTATTCTCACCTCTTTTGGCAGAGGAAAGGGTAAAAGTACTGAAACATTAGCACCAAGAATCTTACTAAAAGATTCTTTGGGTGTTAATTCTTCTAGAAATGGGGAGATTGAACCCTCTGACTTCAAAATTATACCAGCAGTTGATGCCTAAAAGAAAATCTGAACAGAAAACTATGATTTTTGCATTAAAATGAACAGGAACTACTCCAAAATACAACAGCATTACATTTAGTTAAAATTCCAACATCTCTAATTTGAATGAAAGTAACTATTTTGAAGGGAATTGTCCTTTGCTCTAAGGCAAATTAGCTTTAAAATTAGCTTTATGGGGCTGCTTTTGTTTGTTAATTCACCTTTACTTATTTGCTCAGCTGACTTTCCTAAAATGCTTGCCTAAAACAGGGAAGGAAGACAGGCAGATTAGAAAACACCCATACCACACCTTGCATTTGAATAAAGATTTATTTTCTTCTCAGGAAAAAAAACAGGAAGTTAGGGAAACACACTAAATTTTACAGCCCACATTTAATTTGTAGTTGGTCCTAACCCCAATGGTACAGCTGGTAACAATAGCAGCTGTTTCACCAGAACCAAGGTGTCCACCCCTACAGAATGTTACACTAGAGGACTGAAGGTTTTTCCCTGAGAGAAGCATAAGACAGAAGTTGCTGAGACAGCCATCTTTCCAAGCATTCCCTCCTTTCCCATTTGGGAGGCTTTGCCTGAAGTATGTAGCTAGTCAGCACTTAGAACAAGTGCCTCCTCTCCCTATAAAACCATCCACCCTTTCCAAAGTACTTGGGCTCCCTAAGCCTTCACAAACAATATAACTAAGATCCTCATTTCAGCATTCATTTCCACAACTGGATATGGGGAGACAGGCCTTTTAGTCACCTTAGCCAGATCTTAAGTTTAATTAAAAACTACATAAAGTGCTTTTAGGTCCTTAGAGACAGACATGATATAAATAAGTGGTTTATGATCAAGAATGATAAATACATAGGTAAAAATAGCTCTAGCTAGATGACTTTATGGCTCGGAGATGGGCAGGCAGGGCATTCTTCCCTATTACATTCTTAGTCATTTTATTCATGCCTATTTTTATCTGGAGTCCAGACTAAAGATCACATTCTGAGGCTGATGTGTTCAAATGACCCTAGTTCCAACATTGCTTTCTTCAGCTTGACTCTAGCCTTTATAGCACTCAGTACCTAGTTCTACAATTTTCAACGATCATATTCAAAGGAATCTAGAGAAAGTCATGTAATATATTCTCCCCTCTAAAAATTTTCAAGGGGACTGCCGAAACTGGTTTGGCTCAATGGATAGAGCGTTGGCTTGGGGACTGAAGGGACCCGGGTTCGATTCCGGTCAAGGGCATGTACCTTGGTTGTGGGCATATCCCCAGTGGGGGGTGTGCAGGAGGCAGCTTATCGATGACTCTCTCATCGACGTTTCTGGCTCTCTATCTCTCTCCCTTCCTCTCTGTACAAAAATCAATAAAATATATATTAAAAAAAAAATTTTAAGGGGACTTTTGAAATTTCCTCCTCTCCCCCCAAAAAGGTAGGAAAAGCTGAAACCAAAAAGGTACCAACCAGTCCAAGGAAAAGGGACTCCTCCCGCCTCACAGAAACATGTACTACCACCAAGGATAAAATTCATGAAGGATAAAGGTCTGTGGCTACCTATAGGGGTGGTTACTTAGGTTCCTAGTGCCCAAAACTAAATAGGCTAGAGTTCAGGGATGACAGGGTAAAGAAATTTAGAAATTTATCTAAATATCTGTAGAGGGAGCAGAACAAGCAGCAAATAATTCAAAGAAAAAATAGGAAACGAATAGTAAGTTCAATAGAACAAGTTCTGAAATCCGAAGGGATGCCAATGCAGAAATTTAAAACTAAGTTTGGGAATCATTAATAGAAATGAAACAATTAAGTATTTGCTTTATTTATACATTAGGCTTAGACCCGTGTTTAACAAGCCAGCCTAAAATAGCACCATGGTTAGACTATGGCCTGCTTTCAAAGCCATCATTTTACAACTTATGCAAAGGGATCAAACATCTCTCATCCACCTGATGAGATCTTTTTATACACATACTGCTGGTAAATCCCATTTGGAACAGCTGAAAACCTTTTTAAAAGCTTTGCAGATGAACTCATGAACACAAATTTCACCAGTTAAGCTAGGTTGAACAGAAGGAACACAAAACAAATTGTTGCCCAATCAGAGCTCATTAGTTCACCAGTTAAGCTAGGTTGAAACAGAAGGAACTCAAAAAACAAGTTGTTGCCCAATCAGAGCTCATTATTTGTAAATCAATGGCCTGCTCCCCATCTCCCACGCCCTTAAAACCTGACTCAATCACTGAAAATCTACATGTATTGTATTGAAAGAATTTCCATTACCCAATTTCTCAACCCAGATTTAAAAAAAAAAAAAAAAAAAAAAGCCCTATAAGGAATACTTACCGAAATCTGATAGGAAAATTAAAGCCTGCATAGTTATGAATCAGAATTGTTCCATCACAACCAGGTTGCATACAATTACATCAACTGGTTCTGTATACAATCTAGAATTGACCAGGACAAAGTTTAGGATAGAAAAGCTGTAAGAAATAGGTTCCTAACTATAGAAATTGTAAATTTCAAAATGGTATGAAAAAACTAATGGAAATTCTACTCTTGTGCCTTTACATTTCAAAGAAATAGACTTTCTGTAAAAATATATACAATTTTTACAGACAAACACATTTACAAGTTTTTATCTTAAAAATTGAGCACAATCCACATTTGTAACTACAATTATTGAGCCTTTAAGTCAAGTATTCGTGGCCATTACAAGGCTAACAAACTAAACCACTCAAACCAAGTCAAAGTAGAACAGGTATAAAGTCCTGAGCACTTGGACTTTGTATTCTTCAAGAAGCATACTTGGGAAAGCCAATTACACAGAGGAAAAAGCTTCCCTTCACACTCTGTTGTACAGTACTGAGGCTTCTAGTCATATTTCTGTTGTAGCTTAAATTCACTTTACAGTTCACTGGCATTGTTAGTGCTTGTCTTTTAACACTATAGAAATTAATGGGCATATGTAATGAACTCTGCATGACTAGCCTGGCTACTGGCCACTCTCCTGTTCTAGGCAAGGATAGCAAGTCTCTCCACCCTACCATCTTCACTAAATCTAAAAGTCCTCCTTCAGGGCCTCCCAAAGTTGCAGGTTGCTGAAACTTAACTTTGCTTCTTTTAGAGACAGTGACTCTCCAATGGGGACTACTTTTTCCATGACATTTATTCTTGTTAGCCATAATCCTCTTGCCACTCGTTTTTCTCGTTGCGTGGAGGTTACAGCCTGGATAGCTTTGAAGTCCAACTTCATAAATACACTGTTTTTCACAGCAGATGGTTGTGGATCTGGTGTCTGGAGTTGGTTAAGAGTCAATTCTCTCACTTAAAAGGCTATCTTATTAGATATGCCAAACCAGCTCCTACTCCAGCAACACCTGCAAAAGCCAGCAGCACATTTCTGATGCCACCTTCTAGGTCTTCTACATGGAAGAATTCCACAAACCCATCCTAGAAAACAAAAAGAAAAGCACATTTTCAAGTATGGGGTTTTCCCACTGACTTACAAATAAAAGGCAAATTGAAACATCTAAGCCCCGTCTCCATTACACTATGGACCATTGTTTACCCCCCAGCTTGCAAAAGACATTCCCTTAAAACGAGGGTGGGTGTGCAGCAAGGAATGTATTTTACTATCCCCAGGTGATTAAGTTGCCAGGTTACACTGCTTCATAATTTGAATCCACTGGTGTTATGAGTATGCAACTGAATTACAATAAAACAACAAGAGCAAGACTCAGGTACCCAGCAGAATAGCCTACAGGAAACCAGGATTTTTGCTGCAAAAATTTAAAGTCAGTCACACCACCACCTCTATGGACTCTCTTATTCACATCAAGCAACCGGAGGTCCACCAGTCAAGAGCGTGGAAAACTTGAGTTGTGCATCGGACAAACCCTTTAGCTATATCCCCACCTTCTCTATAAAACCCCTCCCCGTTCCAATTCCACCCCCACCCCCACCCCCTCTAGAACCTTCGAGAACAAACTTACCCAGCCTCTTTGTTTCACTAGCCAGTCTCGTTTCGTCCTCACGAGAACGTCTGTGATGCTTTCTGCTAAGGGGTCAATGCAGCTTTCTTGGTTGATGCTCTTCAAGTGTTTGGCCACAAAGGCACCAAAAGAAATGAGAGTCACAATCCTGCCCCAGTTTGTTATCCCGTCGCTGAACACGTGGTCCATCACGCGAGACAAAGACTTGACGTCGTCCTGGTTCTTGATGTCCAGCTTGCGGAGCATACCTGGGAGGAGGGAAGCACGCGGGGTCTCACGGCCGCCTTTGTCTGGGCGGTGCGGCCCACCCACGGAGGAGGAGGAGGAGGAGGAGGGGGAGCCGGCGCCCCCGGGCCCCGCAGCGCCCCGGCGACCCCGGTGGAACACTGACATCCCACCCTTTCCGGCCTTTGAGCGGAGCCGTTCCCAGAGAATCGTGTGGGTGGGCGGAAACAATGACTCATGGCCAGAATATTCTGGTTTCGGAAATAGGATGAGAGCCACCGTCTCCACACTGACTAAAAATAAAAATACAATGAAATAAAAGAAAAGAGCGCGCGCAGCCTCCGTGACCATAGGCCTCTTACCTTGGAAGGCCATCTCGTGGTTGCGCTGCACGCCGTCCCCGACCCGCCGGAGGGTCTCTAATGCCTTCCGGCTGGAGGCCGCAGACCCGCCCAGCGGCTTCGTGTCCTTGGCGCCGGTCGCCTGCTCCCTAAGGTACCGAGAGATAATCTCCAGCGACTGCCGGAACAGCTCGTCGTCCTCCTCCTCCTCCGCTGGGGGCGGCGTGGAGGGCAGCGAGCCGCCCGCGCCGGGGCCGCGGCTGGCCTCCCCGACCAGCAAGGGCAGGACGGCCGGCCGCTTCCCGAGAGGCTCCGGCTCGTACCCGTCCAGCTCCTCTTCCGGCGACATGATGGCGGCGGCGGCCGCGGCGGCTTCCATCTTCTCAGGCGGCGCCGCGCGGCCGACGGGCGCGAACAGCCGCCGCGCGGGGGTCGCGGTGACGTCGGGGCCCTCGGCGCCAATGGGCGAGGGCCGCGCGACCCTCCGGGCGTCCGGCGCCACGGCGGCCGGGGGGCTCGCGCCGGCGCTCCCGCCAATCACCGGCGCCGCCTCCCCTCCCCCGGCCTCTCGCCGCACCGCCGCGGCCTCCTTCCCCGCGGGCAGGAGCCCTTTTCCCGAAGGCGACGCGGCATCGCCGCCGCCGCCGGCCCCCAGCTTGGCGCCCCCACAGTAGAGGTTGAGTCCGATGACCGCGTTTCTCTTGAAGCCAAACATCTCAAGCCTACGCCGCTGTCGCCTGGCTGAGGAAAAAAAAGGGAAGGCACCGACTCCTTACTTGAAGGAAGCGGAAGTAAGGAGTGAGCGAGCCGTTCCCTTCTACACGGTTCTAGAGCCGGTGTGACGCTGGGGCGTCCAGTAAAGAGGAAAAGAGAAAAAAAACTTCCCATAAAAGGCGAAGGGGCGGAAGCTTCCGGAGAGCTGCGCCCCAACGAACCGGCCAGGCAGGAGGGGCGGGGCCTTCCGGCTCGCGGAACGCCCCGCCCCTCCCCCACCGGTTACGTAACGGCGGCCCCGGCGCGTCGGTCGGGGGTCTCGTGCTTCCTCTCCGCGTGGACCTGACGTGCCCAGGAGGGCTGCCCTGCCGGCGCCTTTATGCGGGAGGATTTTTTTCTGCACCAGGATCTTAGCCGGATTGAGGAGAGGACGAGGCAGTTCTGCCTTGGATGGGGCACCACAGCCTTGGATCATATGGGCAAATGAGGGCATGAGGGGCACCTGTAGTTATTTTGCATATCTGCAAATGAGCTCCATTAGTTGTGTGTGTGTGTTTTAAAAAAAATATATTTGTATTTGTTTCAGAGAGAGAGAAACGTCAATAATGAGAGAGTCATTGATTGATCAGCTGCCTCCTGCCCACCCCTAACTGGGGATGGAGCCTGCAACCCAGGCATGTGTCCTTGACCGGAATCGAACCTGGGACCCTTCAGTCTGCAGGCTGACGCTCTATCCACTGAGCAAAACCAGCTAGGGCGCTCCATTAGTTTTTTAAAGAGCAGGTTTTTTGAAAACCATAGTTTGTTGACTTTTAGAGAGAGGAACCGAGAGAGAGAAACATTGAAGTGAAAGCATCGCCTCCATCAGCTGCCTCCAGCACTCCTCCCACCTCCAGGAGTGAGGGCCTCAACCCAGGCAAGTGCTCTGGACCTGGCATCCCAATGGTAATCGCTTGGTGCACAGGATGACGCCCAACCGAGCCACACTGGCCAGGGCTGCCTTCTCACTGTTGAAGGCTGTAAGACTTCTGGGGTGCTAATCAAACAAAATTAGATTCCCCAAGATAATCTGGCGACCCTGAGGCTGACTTTACTTGAAAATGCTCTAGCATGGCATTAAAAGATCATGTCGACCTAGCTCACTTGGTTCAGTGGACAGAGCGTCGGCCTGTGGACTGAAGGGTCCCAGGTTTGATTCTGGCCAAAGGCACATGCCTGGGTTTGGGCTCCATCCCCAGTACAGGATAGTTCTGGAGGCAGCTGATCAGTGATTCTCATCATTGATATTTCTCTCTCCTTTCCTCTCAAGTCAATAAAGAAATATATATATATTTTAAAAAAGATCATGTCATCTTTTTGCCTTGTTTCTAAAATGTGCATAACTTTTTCTAAACCACTCTCCCTGTGACTACAAATAATCTCTAAATATTATTCTTGTTTTTTTAAAAAAAAGATTATTCTTTTAAAATATATATTTTATTGATTTCAGAGAGGAAGAGAGAGAGATAGAAACATCAATGATGAGAGAGAATCTTTAATCCACTGAGCCAAATCGGCTAGGACTTTTAAAGATTATTCTTGATGACACACTGAAAAGGTTGATTTCATGTTTTTGTGTCAAAATCATTAATTGAACTTCTTGCAGTTTCATTTTTTATACTTCTTACTACCTCCTATATTCTCTCATACTATGTCTCAGTATCAGTATCTTCCTCTTTGGCCCCTAGAATGTGGCTCTTCCACAAAATACCACATGCGGGTGTGCACGTACAGTGTGATTGAAACTTCCTGGCCCATGTACAGAAGTCGGTTTTCAGCTCTCAAAAGAAATTTCAATCGTTGTACTGTTGATATTTGGCTCTGTTGACTGATGAGTTTGCCGACCACTGGGCCAGAAGACACAGCAAAGTAATTTTGCTTCATGATGTCACACCATCACACACTTCAAAACCAGTTAAAGACACATTAAAAGATCTTGCCTGGGAAGTATTAACTTGCTCCTTCAGATTACCACTTGTTCTGATCGATGGCACATGCACTTTCTGAACAGCACTTCAAAACGTATAAAGAAGTGGAAAATTGTGTCTCTGAGTACTTTGCGTTAAAACAAGCAAAGTTCTATTGGGAAGGTATCCACAAATCACCTGAAAGATGGGGGAATGTGTAGCTAGCGATGGACATTAGTTTGAATAAAGCACATGATGTTTCTCTTGAAACTATTGTGTTTTCTTTGATTACAAAATCTGCCATTATTAACCAATACACGTAGTATAAATAGAATATTTTGTGACCTCTCAGGGTATTAAAGAGTTATTAATATATGAAAAGCAACAACCATAGAAGGAAAAAATTGACAAATATGATATTAAAATGAAAAACAACCCATTTGGTGCCAAATTTAGACTAATGAGCAAAACACATAAGCACACAGAGGAGGGAGCAATTGACTTTACCTCAGGAGAAAGTAATTTTGAGGTGGGTGTGAGCTGTGTGTGAATGTTCACCAGGGCAAAACATTCTAAGCAGAGAGAAGAGCATCTGCAAAGGTACAGAGCCAAAACAGTGTGGTGCAGGGGGCAAAGGGAAAAAATGGGAGACATCTGTGATACTGTCAACAAAATGAAAACAAACAAGCAAAACAGTGCAGTATTTATTCAAGGAAGCACCAGTGAACTGAGTGAACCAATATTTTCCAAGTGACCAATGCATGATCACACTTGGGAAGAGGATCCATTCAAATTGCAAAAGAGACCAATGGGTTTCATTGTAATACAATAAAACAGGAGAGAGGGGCTGTGTGAGGACACAGGCTTTCAAATCAAATCACTCAGCTGTCCCACTTCCAGTTCTGTGACCTTGGGCATATGATTTGGTTTCTGAGTACCAGGTATGCTTGCTCACCTGTAAAGAGAGTATTCCTACCTCAGGAAATTGTAAGATCTAAGGATCTAAGACAGCCATTTTCTTTTCTTTTTTTAAAAAATATATTGATTTTTATTGATTTTTTACAGAGGAGAGGGATAGAGAGATAGAAACATCGATGAAGGAGAATCATTGATCAGCTGCCTCTTGCACACCCCCCACTGGAGATGTGCCTGCAACCCAGGTACATGCTCTTGATCGGAATGGAACCCGGGACCTTTCAGTCCACAGGCCGACTGTCTATCCACTGAGCCAAACCGGTTTCGGCTAAGACAGCCATTTTCTAAGTGGGATACACAGACTCTCAGACCTTTACGGGGTCTGTGAGATCAAAAGTATTTTCACAATACTAGATATTATTTGCCTTTTTCACCCATCATGCAAAAGCAATGGGGGTAAAACTGCTGATACCTTAGCATATATCAAGGCAATGGACTAGTTGTCATTGTATTCTTTACTACCACACACTTGCAATGAAAAAAGGGTCAGTTTCACTTCAGAATGCCAGTGAAGCAGCAGCAAAAATAGTTAATTTTATTAAACTTCAATTATTGAGTGCATGGCATTTACTATTCTGTTTGACAATGAGCCCAGGCCGTGTGGCTCAGTAGTTGAGCGTTGACTTATGAACCAGGAGGTCACAGTTTGATTCCCAGTCAAGGCACATGCCTGGGTTGCAGGCTCGACCCCCAGAAAGGGGTGTGCAGAAGGCAGCTGATCAGAGTTATCCTCTCACATCATGTTTCTCTCTTTCTCTCTCCCTCTTCCTTCCTCATTCTCTAAAAATCAAAACACATTAAAAAAAAAAATGAACAGTGAATCTGAGACTTAAAGGAAAACAACTTATAATATTTGTTGCCAATGATAAAATTTGAGAATTCAAGTGAAAATAATACTTTTGGAAAACCTGTATCTATACAGTGAACTTTGCAATTTCCCAACACTTAAAGATTTTGCTGATGGGACTGGTTGTGATTTGAATGAATGCGATTATTTATATTGAATAATGAAATATATCAACATTTGGAATATCTACATAACTGAGTGAGCCAATATTTTCCAAATGACTAATGCATGATCACGCTTGGGAAGAAGATCCATTCAAATCACAAACTAGACCAATGGGTTTCATTGTAATACAAAAAGTTCACTGATGTGGTTTCAAATACCACATTATAATTATCCTCAAAGAAACTACCACTTATGGTTTGGTGTACTATCAAAGGAGAATAGCCAACATGATTTGAAAAGGGTATTAAAATACCTCTCCTCCTTTTTTCAATTATCTGAATGAGACAGGTTTTCTCCAAATACTTCAGCCAAAACAGATTAAAATGCATAAACATATAAGAATATCAAGCTATTTTTATGTTAAAAAATATATTTTATTTTTTTTTAATTTAAAAATATATATTTTATTTTTTCAGAGAGGAAGAGAGAGGGATAGAGAGTTAGAAACATAGATGAGAGAGAAACATTGATCAGCTGCCTCTTGCACACCCCCACTGGGGATGTGCCCGCAACCAAGGTACATGCCCTTGACCAGAATCGAACCTGGGACCTTTCATTCTGCAGGCTGAGGCTCTATCCACGGAGCCAAACAGGTCTTGGCATTAAAATAAATTTTTATTGATTTTTAGAGGCAAAGGAAGGGAGGGGGAGAAACATCAATGTGAGAGTGAAACATCGATTGGATGCCCCCTGTCCTGATGGGGAATCAAACTGTTAGAGGAAGAAATTAGAAAGATATAAACGGGGAGAGGCAGTTGAAGCTTGGAAAAAATGAGTGTGAGACGTGGCAAACTGAAAGTAAACAAAGGAGGTGGCAGGCCCCTATGTGAGCAGGAAGATTCAGAGCTCTCTAGGATGTGGTCTAACCAGCGGAATAACTAACACCTCGATGAGGCAGCCTTATAACTTAAATATACTTGGTGGTTTTTTTTTTAAACAAGGGAGGGGGAAGACTTATTAAAACCTACTCCGTCTATGGATATAAATTTCCCAAATCCTAATGAAGAGGGGCACTTGGTTCGATCCCAGACAGCTGACCTGCCCACTCAGGGCACTCAGTTTGGATTCATCCAGCTGCACTGCCCACTCAAGGTCCTTTTTGAGAGTACTGCTTTCCTTCAAATAAACCCCTGCCTCCTTGCTGTTCTTTATTGTCTCGTTTGAATTTATTCCTACAAGACAAGAACTGGGGGCTCAGAGTAGTGTCTCTGGCCAGAGGCTGTCTCCAGCCAGAGACCCTCGTGTCCACTGCCGACAGAAGCAGCAACCGCTTGGTGCACGGAACGACACCCGAGCCACACCAGCCAGGGCTCAAGTCACTTTTAATTAAGTCAAGTATTAAGAGATTTATAAAAGTGTAAAACAATGATACTTTTCTATTTTTTTGAAAATATATCACTTATATTAACCTGCAATTCGTTTATTATTATTTTTTTTAATCCTCACCCAAGGATATGTTTTTTACTTTTTTTCTAGAGAGAGGAATGGATCTATCAGTTGCTCCACTGATCCCCTACATGCGTCCTGACCAGGAATTGAACCCACAACCTAGATATGTACCCTGACTAGAAATCAAACCCCCAACCTTTTTGGTGTAGGGGATGATGCTCCAACCAACTGAATCACTTGGCCAGGATTTTTTTTTTTTTTTAAAGAAATTTTAAAAAATATATTTTTATTGATTTCAGAGAGGAAGAGGGAGAGAAACATCAATGATGAGAATTATTGATTGGCTCCCTTCTGCAACCTCCGACTGGATCAAGGCTGCCACCCGGGCCTGTGCCCCTTGTTTGGAATTGAACCCGGGACCCTCAGTCTGCAGGCCTGATGCTCTATCCACTGAGCCAGACCAGATGGCTAAAGAGAATTTTTAAGAGACAAAGGAGAGAATGGTCAAGCATGTCAGTTAACTGCTAACCCTTGTGTTAACATCACAGGAAGTTGTACTGTGAATATTTTTGTGTGTGTGGGTTTTTTTTCTTGTTTTTTTTTTTGCTTTTTGCTTTGGGGTGTGTGTGTGTCTAGAATGCATTAATTCAATTTACATGATTTCTAATGGAATTAAATGATTTGGTTTTGGAACAAATCACTTCTGGAACAGCCTTCCGGAATGAACTAAGTTCGAGAGCTGAGGTTCCACTGCACAATTATCCAGGTGTGGAGCTTTACCAACAGTCAGTGTGGATCGGGCCCCGTGTCACTGCGTGCCTGGGTGCTAGGGGTGGGGACCTGGTGAGCAGCAGCTCTGCTGATGGCTCTCTCCGCGCTGGCAGCTGGCGGAAGCGGTGCAGCTCCAGCTGTGGTTTCTCTGCGGCCCGCTGCACTGTGAGAGCCCCCGGCTGCAGAGGCAGCGGCAGGAGGGAGGCTGGGGGAAGCGGAGGTGGAGGCCACATCCAGAGACAGTGGCTCACGCAGCCGCAGGGATGGAGGTGTAAGAGGCCAGCCGCTGGGTTGCAAGCTATGCCCTAAGACAGACAGACACACACACACACACACACACACACACACACACACACACACACCGTTAGCAGCATGTGGCGCAAGGATGGAGGTGGAAGAGGCCAGCCACTGGGTTGCAAGCTATGCCCTAAGACACACACACACACACACACACACACACACACACACACCGTTAGCAGCATGTGACCGCTGGCTGCTCCTTGGACAGAGCAAACTGGAGTAGGGGCGAGGAGGAGCGAAAGGGGGATGGAACCTGTGTGCCTAGGCTCCGGGCAGCTCGGCTGCCACCACTGCTGAGAAGGTACCCCGTTATGTGAGCTGGGCGCGCAGAGCTGCGAGTGGGGAAAGGCATCTGGCCTGCGCCCCGGCTCCCTGCAGTGTGCTTCCCTGGCACCCATTTCCCCACTGCCCTGTGGGACCTCCAGCGCTGGCGCCCATCTGTGCTCAGGCCAGGGGTACCCAGCCTGGGGTGGGAGGTGAAGGACGCAGAGAAGCTAGGACTGGAGAAGCACTGGCAGGAGTCGCTGAGGGGAGGGGAGAGAAGAGTAAAGCTAAGATTGAGTAGTCTTCTTCCCACGAGCCACGGCACCTTCCACTCCTGCTAACTTGCCAAATGCTGAGCCGAACTGATCTTTACCTTGAGGAAGAATCTCTGGACATGGACTCCATTTAGGACCCTGATTTCCCCTGATGATATGGACAGAGATGAGACACGGAGGAACTCCCTTAATTTTGCTTCCCAAATAAACCCTCCTCTCCTCTGGGTCCTTGGAAATGTTTTTCCTTGCCACACTGCAAGAACCCCACAGCCACCGGCACAGAAAGTGGCGCCCAACATAATTTTATCTCTCCATCCATTTTTCAATGAAATGTTTACCTGGAAAAAAAAAAAAAAAAAGCATAGCCTGAGCCGGTCGCTCAGTGGTTAGAGCACCGGCTCAAGGACTGACGTGTTGTGGGTTCCATTCTCCTCAAGGGCAGGTACCTCTGGGTTGCAGACCCCACCACGCATGAGGGAGGCAACCAGTCCATGTGTTTCTCACATCAATTGTTTCTCTCTCTGCCTTTCTCCCCTCCCTTCCACTCTCTAAAAGTCAATGGAAAAAATATCCTCGGGTGAGGATTATGAACAACAAAAAATAGGATAGTAATGTCTACGCTGTGAAACAGAGCAGAGGTGAAAGTGCACGGGGCATGTTTTCACCATGTCCTCAGTGGCTGGGAGGAGTCGAGGCCTCCAGCAGGAACATCGCCTACAGTAAAGCCAGGCTGATGAAGAGACAGCTCACCTACCTCCACAACTACCCTGTCCTACTGTCTAGTATTAGAAAAGACCGTGTTTTTAGTTTATTTTTCCCAAAAAATAATTCAACAGATGCCATGCACAGAATCTCTAGCAGGAACAAGCCCCAGCCTGTTCCACGGACACAGTCAAAGGCCCAGACAGCATTCCGCCTTCTCTGTACTCTTTCATTTCAGCTGGCTAAGGGTGGCTTTGTCTTGTCCTTTCTTCCTGCACCTTTCATTTCACATTGCAGATAGAGAGATCAGATGCTCAGATTTGTTTCTCCGAAACAGCTGAGTACAACAAAGACAAAAAGCAAAACAACCTCCCTTCCCCCACAATTCTGCTCTTCTGTCACCCCATTTGTATTATAATTATCCTATGACAGGTGAATGAGCTAAAAGACATTAAGTAATTCTAGTCTTAAATTGTGACTTCCTGAGGCAAAGGAGCTGTTCAAGAACAGTGGTGCCCTGGCCGGTATGGCTCAGTGGCTAGAGCCTGCAGACCAAAGGGTCCCAAAGCTCAATACCGGTCAAGGGCACGGATCTAAGTTGCAGGCTTCTCCGCTGCCTAGGCCCTGACATTGATCTTTTTCTCTTTCCTTCTCTATTCCACTCCTTAAAAATCAATGGAAAAATACCCTCGGGTGAGGGGTTAGTGGGAAGTGGCATCTGGTAGCAGAAATGAGAAGCAAAATGTGGAAGGATAGAAGAGGAAAGGTAACAGGAAATTAAGAAAAACACACGTCCCAGCAAGAACTGCTGTTCACCCCTACCACTCAGCTGGAGCCATGCTCTGGGGTGTGTTTAAACAAATCTCCATAGCAACATCTGGTTTCTGTCTTTCTATGACAACACAAGCTTTTGGTTCTAAATAGAGAGAACTGAGGGCTGGGAGGGGGGTGGGGAGGTAGACTATGCAGAAACACAAGATTTCTTTGGAATGCCTTCAATTATCCCTCCCAGTTCACCCTCCAGGTAGGAAAGGGGCTTAAGGTCTTTTCTTGATTCACAACAGTCACAATTAAGAACTGAGTCCTGCATACCTTTGTATTCTTTTAACCAATTATGTAAATTCCTTTCCTGTCAGGGGGATCCCCTTGGGGCAAGAGGGGGAGAGAGAGAAACTTTTGCTTCCCATTTTCACTGCAGATGCCACTTTCGGGCAGAGAGGGGCCTGAGGATCCCCTCCAATGATGGGGTGGTGGCCCCTGAGGGAAGGAAGCCATGGACAAGGGAGTGTGAGTGAGGAAAGGCACTGCTGAGCTTCAGTGGGCCCAGGACAGAGTAGTGAGAGCCCCTTCCTCAAGTCACACCATGACTCTCACCCAGGGGACCCCAAGGGACCTTTGGTAATGTCTGGGGACTTTTTTTTTTTTTTTTTTTTTTTTTTTAATTTTGTTGTTGTTAACCCTCGCCTGAGGACATCCTTTCGTTGATTTTAAAAAAATATTTTATTGATTTTTTACAGAGAGATAGGGGGAGAGAGAGAGAGAGCTAGAAACGTCAATGAGAGAGAAACATCGACCAGCTGCCTCTTGCACACACCCTACTGGGGATGTGCCCACAACCAACGTACATGCCCCTGACCAGAATTGAACCTGGGACCTTTCAGTCCGCAGACCAACGCTCTACCACTGAGCCAAACCGGTTTCGGCTGTGTGGGGACTTTTTGATAGCTCTGACTGAGCCTCTGGTGGGTAGAGGAAGGAGATGCTGTTAATATTTATCCTAAAACACGCAGGACCAAGACCAAAACCAAAACCAAAAACCACACAGGGCAGTCCTCACAACAAAGAAGTATCTGGTCCAAAATGTCAGCGGTCCCAGGGCTGAAAGCCTGAGCTCGAAGATGCAGGTCCTGTAGGAGTCCTCTCCCTGCTCAGGGCCCAGTGATAGGTCCTTGGGCCCCGAGTTCCTCCCAAACTTTCAACCCAAGTATTTATTTACTTAGTTTACTTCTAACAATAATAAATCTAACCCAAGGCCCACATCTGCTGTGAAATTCGCTTCTCCTAAGGAAGGCGGTGGGTATAGGAAAGGCCCCTGACAGGGGTGGTGGAACCCGGAAAAAGGCACCACCTCTTGGCCTCAGTGTCACCATTTGTAAACGAGAACACTGAACAAAACGATCTCTAATGGCCCTTCAGTCCCAAAACCCTGTATGTGAGGATTTTTCAGTCTTAGTTGTACCCAGTTAGGGTCACTGGAAAAGGAAATGACTCAGAAATGCAATGGGGGAAGTCTGAGGGGTGACTCAGGCTTTCCTAGTCATAAAAGACGCTTCAGACATGTACCAGAGCAGAACTCATGACCGCTGAATGATGCCAGGACTTTCCTCCGTATATTCCAGGCGGTGATTTCCATATTAGGTGATTTAGCAACAGTAAGTTGCCTCTACAAAAAAGAAAAAATAACAAAAAAAATCCCTCCGAGGTCTGAATGTTTGAATTTCTACCATGAGAGGTTTTTTTGTTTGTTGTTGTTTTTTTAAATATATTTTATTGATTTTGTTCAGAGAGGAAGAGAGAAAGATAGTTAGAAACATCGATGAGAGAGTCATCTATCAGCTGCCTCTTGCACACCCCCTACTGGGGATAGGCCCGCAACCAAGGTACATGCCCTTGACTAGAATCGAACCCGGGACCCTTCAGTCCCCAAGCCGACGGTCTATCCATTGAGCCAAACCGGTCTCGGCTACCTTGAGAGTTTTATCTCCAATGAAAAATAGAAATATTCTAGCATAGGTACAAGTTTGGTGTTACTGAGTTTGGGACTCTGAAGTAAATAGCTGGCACTAAATCAAGAATGATGCTTGTTGGTGCGTATGTAGACCTAGCTAATATGATTTGAGAAAAGTTCGTGTACTGTGTAAATCCTATTCAGTCTTTTCAATCGAAATATATATTATGGATGTAGCACTCCTTTTTTGTTATTTTCTAAACTTTTAGTTTTCCTTTTATATAAAAAGCACAGTTGGATTTAACAAGCGGTAATAGAACTAAACCCCAAGTACATGAGCCACCTACTTTCAGAGCTGGATGTAGGAACTTGCTTAGTTCTTTCCTTAACACTCCAGTGACCTTCACCTTTACCCCACTTCTTAGTGTCTTGTCATTAAATGGGAAAGTTCTAACTGTAAAATCTTATCTCTAACATCATTTTGACTACTACTGTGTCCGGAGCTTCCGGCTTAATCATCTGCTCTTTGACCTTATCAAAATTTCTCTTTTGACCAGAGTTTACCATACTTTAAAAAAATATATATGGCCGAAACCGGTTTGGCTCAATGGATAGAGCGTCGGCTTGGGGACTGAAAGGTCCCAGGTTCGATTTCGGTCAAGGGCATGTACCTTGGTTGCGGGCCTATCCCCAGTAGGGGGTGTGCAAGAGGCAGCTGATCGATGACTCTCTCTCATCGATGTTTCTAACTCTCTCTCTCTCTCCCTTCCTCTCTGTACAAAATCAATAAAATATATATTAAAAAAAAAATATATATATATATATATACATATATATATAGCCGAAACCGGTTTGGCTCAGCAGTAGAGCGTCAGTCTGCAGACTGAAAGGTCCCAGGTTCGATTCTGGTCAAGGGCATGTATAATACCTTGGTTGCGGGCACATCCCCAGTAGGGGGTGTGCAAGAGGCAGCTGGTCGATGTTTCTCTCTCATCTTCATTTCTAGCTCTCTAGCTCTCCCCCTTCCTCTCTGTAAAAAAATCAATAAAATATATATATTAAAAATATATATATATATATATACACACACACACACACACACTCCTATTGATTTTTAGAGAGAAAGGGAGAGGGATAGAGAAATAGAAATATCAATGATGAGCATCATTAATTGGCTGCCTCTTGCATGGCTCCCACTGGGGATCAAGCCCACAACCTGGGCATGTGCCCTGACCAAGAATCAAACCAACGACCTCTTGGTTCCTGGGTCGATGCTCAACCGCTGACCCACACCAGCCAGGCTACCATACTTTTCTTAGCCAGTCTGAATCAGCTAGCATCCTTGAATTGTCTTTTACCAGCACCTTTAGTCTCTCTGCTCCCCTGTCAGTCCACTTCACATCACAAATCACAATCCAGGATCTACACAGTAATAGATCTCATCTGCTCCTGATTATATAGGGTGCTCCAAAAATGTATACACACTTTTCAGCTGATAGCTCAATTGATGCTTCTTTCTTTTCAGATTTAACCCATTGGAATTAATAATTATTCAAAGTGTGAATACATTTTTGGGGGGCACCCTGTATATATATTCTCTAACAATACCCAGTTGCCTGGGTATGGGTGTGTATGTATGTGCATCCAATGTGTCGCTCAGCTGGCTTCCCGACCAAGTAACTCCATGACCTTGCCTTGTACAGTGGCTGGCACATAAGTGCTCAACAAATGTTTGTCGAACTGTTGTTTAATTAACCATATCCAGCTGAGCTCTAGTATCAACCCCTCCTCTGCAGAAGGACCCTTTTTGGTTACTGTCCTTTTCTATGGAGCTTCAGCTTTTACTTGCTCCTTTCACCCAGTCAATAAATGTGCTTAAGTCATTCCTATCCTAAAACAACGACAAAACCTTCCCACACCACTCAGTTCTATAAGCAAGATTTTACCTCTACCAACCCATTGAAACTTGTCTCAAAAAGGTTACTAATTGCCAAATCATTTGGACACCCTTCAGTCCATTTTAAAAAACAGTGATTTTAATGTTTTTGAAATTTAAATGATCTCTCATTATCAAATACATGTTCACTGTCAACATCTTGAAAAGTACAAAAAGTAGATACATACTTGCTAAACCATAATTTTGACAAATTTTGTGCTGAACATTTTGGGCACTTTTTTACAGGTGAGAGTCTCGTTTCTGACTTCATATACCCTCCAATCGCTCTTTACATTGTGGACTGATCCCGTTCCTCCATTATACTGTCCTTCACACCACATTTTCTCATTCTCCTATTTTATTGGGCCTTTCTATTCCTTTCGGATGTTAGCTCTCATCAGAGACAGCTCTACAATCTTCTGTTCTAAGTGCTTTCACTTTCATGGCTTTACTGATATATCTTGAAGTCTACAGAATCTACTATATTTAAAAAATATATATATATTTTTATTGATTTCAGAGAGGGACATGGAGATAGAAACATCAATGATGCGAGAATCACTGAGTGGCTGCCTCCTGCATGCCCCCTACTGGGGATCAAGTCTGCATCCCAGACATGTGCCCTTGATTGGAATTGAACCTGGGACCCTTTAAGTCCACAGACTGATGCTCTATCCACTGAGTCAAACCAGCTAGGGCAGAATCTACTATCTTGACTTCTTCTAGACTTAAAGATCCAATAATTTATTGACCATCTAATCCTCGATGTCCTATAGTCACCTCAAATCAACCCTTCTGCAAAAAGGAACTAACTCATTATCTTCCTATCTAACTTGCTCTTCCTGTTGTATTTTTTTTGAAAAACAAACAAAAGTTTTTATTGATTTAGAGAGAAAGGGAGAAGGAAACATCAATCAGCTGCTTCTACAAACCTCCCCACTGGGGATTGAGCCTGCAACCCAGGCATGTGCCCTGGCTGGGAATCAAACCAGTGACTTATTGGTGCATGGGACAATGCAACCTATCTACAACACAGACTTTCCAGGTCTCCTGTCTGCCTTCCTGACCTGGCCTTCAGCTACTCCCCAGGACTCACTAGATCCTGGTCCAGATTCCACACCGTCTCATTCTTCTCTAAGTATTGGTTCCTCTACCAAAATGTCCATTTTCACTTACCTTTCTGGAGAAACCCTGTTCATCCTTCAGAACTTACATCATGAAACCTTTCCTGACCACCGTTTTCCCTCCACCCCTGCGGGCAACGCAGAGAATCCTGTCTTCACTCTCAGAAGCTCTGTGACTTGGGCAAGTTACTGTTTTAGTTGTGCCATTTGTATAATAGCAACAGTAACACTACCTACTTTATAGAATCCTTGAGAGTTAAATGAGATGAAGTAAATTAAACCCATAGCATGGGGCTAGACACTTGGTAAGCTCTCAAAACATTTAGCAATTGCCTATGTAGGTAGGCCTCTACTGCTGCAAGTTTAACACTGCAGTCTGATTTCTTCGTGTAGTTTCTCCACCAGAGTATAATCTCCTTGAAAGAAGCGCCCACATATCACACATCTTATATGTTAGCACAGTGCCTGGCATATTATGGGAACTTATTCAATGACAATTGAACTAGACTATTTGGGTACTGCCCATCTTTCAAGGCCCAGTTCAATTTCAATTTCCTCCACTAATATTTACCTAATGATACCAGCCTTCTGGATTGTACCTTCTCAGAAATATTTTACCACTCTTTGAATAATCACATGCTATCTTGTGTTATATTTAGAGGCGTTGTCTCTATGAGGCCTCAATTTCCTCCAGGGCATATACCATTTCTTACATTGTTCATCTGCCCAATAACAGCTACAGTAATATCTCCAATGGCACAGTGAGTGTTCAATAATTACCTTTAGGTTTTTGGTTTTTTTAAATTGATTTTTAGAGAGACAGAAAGGGAGAGGAAGAGAGAAATATCAATGTGTGAGAGAGAAACATTGATAGGTTGCCTCCCGTACATACCCCAACCAGAGACTGAACCACAACCAGGGCATATGACCTGTCTGGGAATGGAACCTTTTGGTTCACAAGATGACACTCAACAAACTGCACCAAACTGGCCAGGGCAACAATTATTTTTGAATTAAAATATTTCTATTCAAGCATGGGAGGCCTCCCCTTATCTTTTACTTTTTATTTTATTTTGAGAGTACATTTATTAAAGCTGGGGACAGAGAAACAAGAGCTTAGCATTGAAGAAGCAACAGGAGAGCCTAGGTGGGGCTGCTGTTGGCTTCATGAAAAGTCAGAGAAAAGGGGGCCTTGGAGACAAGTTCAGGGTTTCAGCTTGGGACGAACTGGCGCTGCCCACTGCTTCCCTGGTTGGGGACCCTTAGTGTTCAGGTGAGAAAAGTAAAGCCTGAGAGTGAAGAAAGGCAGGTGTGCCCCTGAGGGAAAGCACACCTCTCCTTATCTTTTATTAGTCATCTGCCTCTAAGAAAATCCAGCTAACAACACATCTGACTCTCCTTCCCTTAGCTTTTTTTTTCTTTGGGGGGGAAGGGGAGCGTGACTGGAATTGAATTCGGGACCCTTCGGTCCCTAGGCTGATGCTTTATCCACTGAGCCAAACCAGTTAGGGCTCCCTTTGCTCTTGAAATTCTGCTTGAAACTACATTAATTTGCTTTTATTTGTACGCCACTGTCAGGTCTCAGCTTCCCAAGGGAGAAATCTTCCCTTTCCTTGCTAACTTCCCTCAAGACCCAGCAGAGGGCACTAGACACAGAGGGCAGTTTGTGTGGGTGCCGCTGGCTCACTGTAGATACCCTCAATGCAACTACTTTTCCTTTTGCCTGTATTGTCAATGCTAGGCCACAGCAGCTTAAAATAAAAGCCACCGAACAATAATATCACCCTGCATTTTGGATGGCCAAGATGCTTGTCAGCACAACCATCACTCAACCAAGCTGGAGAAGAACCCTTGATCCACAATTTGCAATGAAGATTTTAGAAAATACCTAACCAAAACACTGTCAGGAACAGCTACTTGAAGCACTGCAGAATCGGTCTGCCTTGGCTGCCTGCAGTAAGGGAGTGAAAAACCAAGAAATGGCAAGTTTTAAACTGAATTAGAGATAGCCACAAACATTTCTTGCCACCCCAGAATTCCAAAAACGAAGGACCAGGGAAGCCAGGAATAATGGAAAAATCACATAGAAGCCTAGATACTAACTCTCAAGCTCTTTCGTAAACTAGCTTTGCCACCTTATAAGTAACTTATTTCTACACCGCCATTTCCTTACCTGTATTAAAACGAAATCGCACTAACTGAATGATCCCACTCAGCCTCCCTGACCTCACTGCCCAGCTGTATCTACACAAACCAGGAATATGCTCAAAAAGTAGAGGATTGGTTTAGGACACACAGGGTGGGGCAAAAGTAGGTTTATAGTTGTGAATACTTAAAACAGCTGTATTCTTATATTATTTACTGTTTTATTTCCCATATGAACTGTACACCTACTTTTGCTCCACCCTGTGTATACAGTGTATATATCTTAGCTTTTGAAGCATATGAACTTTTTCATACATTTTCTTCCAGATAGACAATGATCCCCACAATGGTAGGGAATGCTTTTTTTAAAAAAAAATATATTTTTTTATTGTTATCAGAGAGAATGGGAGAGGGAGAGATAGAAACATCGGCGAGAGAGAATCACGGATCAGCTGTCTCCTGCATGCCCCCCACTGCGGATCGAGCCCACAACCCAGGCATATGCCCTGACCGGGAACCAAACCGTGACCTTCTGGTCCATAGGTAGATGCTCAACCACTGAGCCACGCCGGCCAGGCTAGGGAATGCTTAAAAAAAAAAAGAAAGAAAGAAAAAGAAAAAAAAGAAATTCTCCCCTGAGATATGTTTTATTGATTTTAGAGAAAGAGAGAAGCATTGATGTGAGAAACATTGATTGGTTGCCTCTTGTACATGCTCCAACAGAGAATCAAACTTGCAACCTAGGTATGTGCCCTGACTGGGAATCAAATCCTCAACCTTTTGGTGTATGGTATGACACTCCAACCAACTGAGCCACCTGGCCAGGGCATGCCTTTCTTTAACCTGGCGCCATACAACCTGGCTCACTCAGTGTCTAGCATGCTGTTCAGAAAAGCCAGTGGTTAGGATGCATCACAGTCCCCTGGCTAAATTTAGAGCGAGCAAGCCAGGAATACCTCAACCGAAAACTTACTTAGAAAGATGCTCGTTAAGGAGAATGAGTTAGACACCAAGAACAACATTTCTTCTCCAGTTTAGAAGTTACCCCCTTCCCTCAATAAGATGGAGATTTCTCTAAAATATCTGTCTCCTGTGCCCCGTTTATCTTCCTTGATGAACACTTATTTGAAAAGCCATTCACATTTGGGAAAACACCATGGTAAACTCTCCTAATCAAACTTGGGCAAAATGGGTGTTTCATTTAACACATGTGAATGTTGGTGGGGCCAGGAGGGACAGGATGTAGTCTGCCTCTACTTTGGTAACGCATTTCCTTTGTATATTATTGTACATTCACAGGTCTGTCAGCGGCAGGACTTGAGATTGTTTTGGTAACATGAGGAAAGAAGTCACTGTGCCTCCTGCTGGCCACAAGCAGAGAGGCTCAAGTTCCTTTTGGCTTATTACTAGAGGTCCCATTTCTCCTTCACCAGCAGAACTTCTGAAGGAATACATGACTGAAAAGGAAGAGTAGGCTTCCTTTTTTGCTTCGTCTGGACTAAGCTTTAGTGTCAATAAATCGTTCAGATCAAACGCTCTCAAATCCCTCATTTTGTGAGCCCAAACCTGAGGTTGATGCATCTGTATTATGTACAGGAACAAAGGGATGGACAGGGGTCAGGAAAAACTCTGGTCTGTATGCCAACATCCTCGTTCCCTCTCCCTAAGTGATGGAAGTTGTAGAGTCTAAGCACATCCTATATTAAGAGGATCTTTAAAAAACGTAGGGCAGCACACCAGCTACTCTCCTGAATGGTATCTTTCTTTCCTTCCCTTTCCCCAACCCCAATAAAACACACCAACTGTTTCAGAGTATTTATGCGTTGGGTTTTTTGGTTTTTTTTGTGGGTCTTTTTTTTTTTTTTTTTTTTAATTTCAAATACTGAAAAAGTCCCCTGGGCTCTGTGGGGCTCCCCATGCTCATGGCCCTCTTTCCCCATACTCACTGCCCTTCTCCCCACAGTAAATCTGTTTCAAGGACATTTTTTAAAATGAACAATTAATATAATTAACATTAATTGCATTTCCAGCTTGCTCTGCAGAACCAGAGGAGCTGTCTGACACCAGGTCTCCAGCATGTCTAAGCAAACATTGCATTTTTCTACAAAGTTAAATTGGAACCCCACATCTTTCGTTGACTCCATTTCCTTCCCCTCACACCAGCCACACGGTTAAGAAGGATAGTCAGAAATGTTATCAACTCCGAGCCCTAATTCATATTCCCCTAAATCTCCCACCCACCCTCTCAAACATCTCCCCAGCCCCACCCCACTCCCTAGGATTTCTCTGAGATTTCTCCCAATAGTTATTTGGGAGAAAGGGAAAACAAAAAGGTTCAAGGTCTTGGTGCTCGGCCCAAGGGGCTCCATGCGCTGGGACACCGACGGGCAGGGCTTCTGCCTCGCCAGCCCGTGCCCGAGCCACCTCCTGAGCCCTCTGCAAATGCAGGGAGGGGCAGGAGCCAGCGCAGGACCCAGCGGGGGGCAGCGTCTCAGGATCTGGCGGAGCCCCGGGCAGCATCATTCAACTTGGCCACTGCGGATGAACATAGAAGAAGAAAAAGAAAACACTGTCAAGTAATAAGGGGAAAATACCTAAATTCCATCCCAGTCTCTATTCCATGACTCTTCTATACTTAACAATCACTAGGCTTCCTAGCATATGCCTCAATCCTATCCATAGAAAATTATTGAGAGGGAGAGAGGTAGAGAGGTAGAGATAGATAATGAATGAATTTGAGTCTTATCCACAAAACAAAACGTTCTCTGCCTTTTTTTTTTTTTAAGATACCCATAAAAACAAAGACAGAAAAGCAATTCGTTAGACAAGATCAAAACGACTGGAAGCTCATAGGGATGTAGCGGCCTCATGGCTTGGAGCAGCTCAGTTTCATACACAAAGCACAGTCACCGAGAGCAGCAGAGACTGACTGCGGGCACACAGGGATGAGGTGGTGACTCAGGGGAGGCCAGGGCCAGACAACACACAGCTTGTTTGGAGTGGAATTAATAATCTAGGTTTAATCAAAGCAACTGGATTTGGATTTTTCTTTGCCATGGACTTAGGAACTTCATGCTGTGGCAACGTGTGGCAAACACAGAATGTAGCTTGAGTCTTTTCTTAAACTTGAATATGACCAGATGAAGAGAGAGAGAGACCAATAGTTTTCTGATTTCTCTATTCCTTCCTAATGCCAGACTCATTGTGACCTCAGTTTTGAGGATTCAAATTGACCCATAGAGAAAGTGGCTCAGACAGAAACGAAAAAAGTACACAATTGAGAAAATCGGAGATGAAGAAAACGTACAAAATTATATATATATTTATATATATAATAACATGACATATCTATGTACAACATGGCTGGGACAGTTGAGAAAACTATACAAGGATGTTCGGCATTTTCCCCTTCCCACACGGATTTTAGACTAAGGAAGACAGCATGAGGAAATGGAGCAAGAAACACAAAAATTATATACAATTACAAGTGACAGTCGAGGAGTCTGGGGCCAAGGAATTCAGGGATCCTGCTCTCTCCAGTCCTTCCTCACCAACTCTTTCCTACCCAATCTGAATGACAGCCTGAAAAGTGAATGGCTGGTCAGGAGAGAAGTATATAATGCATCCCATCCCCACACATGCATCCCATCAAGTTCATCAGACGTTCTCATTGGGCCAAATTTTGGCCTCTCAGAGTTTGTGAGAGGGCAAGAGAGGATTACAAAATCTTGCTCTCTTGAACAGTTAGTTCTCACCCTGACCCTCTCTATCATAACTAGCAGGTTGCATTCAGTAAGATTCAGGCCAACCTGGTGATAACTAGACTGAAGAGGCTGGCCAACTGCAAACCATTTCCTCCACACATTCATGAATCAGCACTGCTTCTTCTCACCACACGGTGCCAGGCTGCTGAGCTCTAGGAAGGCAGAGATTTCTGGGTTCCTTTTCTCGCCTTAACCACCTTCCCCAGCATTCTCCAAGCTGAATTACCTCCGAAGAACCTGCTACTCCAGCCTGCTGTGGTACTAAGCCCTAGAGGCTAGCTTAGTGCATCCCTTTCCTTCTTGTCTCCCTACACAATACACCTGGCATCCGATTACATCAGAAATGTGGGCCTCCATATGTGCAAGACTGAGCGTGTTTCTGCAGGCCCACAGCGAGGCTGCCGGAGCAGGCTTTTTAGCAGCAGGGTTGCAGACTGCAGGCTAGGAAAGTGGGTTGAGCAGAGACAGAAAGCTTCCATGGCTAGCTTCTTAGAATTGTTTTCTTGACCCTATCACCATGATATTTATGAGGCCCTCTTGCTTGAATTCATTCTTCCCTCCCCCTGCCCCAATCTCTACTTCCTCTCTCCCCAGGTAGTCTTCAAATGGTTCCCCTGTGTAGGCAGATAACTGATGGGCCTGCCTCATTAGCTTTACAAACAAATGCAGTTTTTCAACTGCCAGTTATAGAATTCTAAAATCAGAATCAATTTTATCCATATTCAACTCTATTTTACAGATGACAAAATAAATTCTGAGAGGCTAAATGACTTGACCAAAGTTACATATCACTTCTACATGGAACTAGACCCAAACCCAGATATTTGACTCCTAAACCAGTGCTCCTTCCGCTATCCCACAATGCTTTTAAAAGCAACATGCTGGGAGAAAGAGAAAGAAGGAGAGAAAGAGAGAGAGTGAGCGAGCTAGAGAGCGCCCATTTTATACAATGTTTTCCAATCTTTACATTAAGAGCCAGGACAAACTGTAAGAGACACTAAGGGAGGTTAAGAGGGCATTGTAGTTTTAGGCAAGCAAATCAGTTTTTCTTTTTTCAGGATTCTCTAAACCTGCCACAATGGAAACATGAAGCAATAGCAGCCTAAGACGAAACACTTAGAAGCACAGAAAAACGATCTCATTCAATCTACCTTTCCCAATAATGTCAGGTTAGCCTTGGATGTTAAAACCTGCCACATTATTCCCAAGGCTTAGCCTAAATCAATTTTGAGATAGTCTCTTCCGGAAAAAAACCCCACATCACGTCTCCCCAGTTTCTTGTACAGAAGGAAAAAAGTTTGCAGTATTACTCAATCCTAGTCTCCTACTTCTGGGCTATAGTGAGGGTGCGGAAATACCAATTTAACCAAAGAAATGAACTCAGAGCCCCTCTCCCACACACACATTACCTTCTCAGCAGCCCCCAGCTGAATCACAGTCATTGCTGGCCAGCAAGCTGAGAAGTTCTCTAGCTAGGTGCCCATTCCAGTCCTGCCTATGACATATAAAAGTCCAGTGGGTGAGGAAGGGGAAAAGAGGGGCCCAGGTTACCCCGCAAGCTTGCTGGTGACGAGCGAGGACTTTCTCTGGGGCAGATCCTGCGGGGTAGGGATGTGGTCGCCAGTCACCAGGTTCTTGTCTGGTCCTGCACTTGGCAGCTGCTTATTCTTCATCTTGGCTTTGGCCATGTTGTAGTCTCCTGAGTCAAAGTACTTTTGCTAGGAGACAAGAGAAAGGTTTAGGTGAGCGGGGAGCCCTGGCCATCCGCAAAAACAAGGAGACCCACATCCATTGCAAATCCTCATCCACTCTCAGATCTTTCAAGTCTCTCATGATTAATCTCATGCACACACAGCTGGGTTAAAGGTAATACCTACATGTACTTGTGTCTTCTCCCCAAATGTAGGTAAGCAGTTTCCCAGCTATAGTATAGATTTTTGGAGTTAAGAAATAGCCACATCACATCCTTTGTACCCACATCATTTGTAGCCTCATCAGCACAAAATGGTTCAACAAAATGATTGATTTATACCTAAAGGCTTACTGAGGACCTATTAGTCACCAACAGATTTGGAGCTGGGGAAACAGACATAAAGAAGGATTAATCTGGGGCTACCCTAGCAAACAGCAGACCAACCTCCAGCCAATCTTAGAATTGCAAAGTGTTTTCTCAGACCATGAATAGAAACCAGGCTTGCTCATGAGGATAATGTACTTTTCCTCTGCCTCCCACTGCCTCCACAGGTTCCATGGCTGTGAAACCTGCCCATGCCTGCCTCGCCTACAGCAAGGTAAACTGCAAATCATCATCACATCATCATCTGTGGCTAAGACTCAACAACTGGGATCCTTCCCGGGTCTATTTCCCTCTCCATTTCACCCACAGAGGAATACACTCCGGCTTAATGGTTCCCAATCCCTCAGTAGGTTTAGGTACCTCTGGGATGGAGCTAGATGGCTGTGAAGGTAGATTCTCCCTTGGTGAGGAGAACCACTCTGGACAGAAAGGAGTAAATGGCGAGTGCTAACTTTAAGGGTCTGAATAAAACTATTCATTTTAAGTTCAGGAAGTCAGTAGGACAGATGGTTTGATCTTTTTCTGAAATGACACATCTATAACATATAGCTCTAATTCTAAAAAACACAGTCTTAAAATTCCCACTATCAAAAAAGGCAAATGCCTAGTGCGACCAGTGTTCCATTCTCTAACATCCTTCCTTTAACCCCCTAATCCCCCGTAGCCAAATGCCCCTACATAAAGTCTTACTGTCCTATATGGGGAACCAGAAGATAAACCAGAAGATACCATATCAGAGACTTATAATAATCTGTTTTGCTCATTATAAGTTTCTAACTCCTTTCCACTGCTGCCCAACAAATAACAAGACTTCCAGGTCAGCATTCAGTAGCGCCTCTATAGAGCTCATCCCCTTTGGCTCCAAAGAAGAGATTGTGTCCCATACCCCTTTCTGGAGTCTCTTCATGAGGAAGTCGGAGCCTCCAGGCTTTTGTCCGAGGCTTGGATATTTGGCCTTTAGCTTTGCCTCCTCAGCTCTCTCAGGGAGAATACCTTCTTTCTCCTGCGTGTCCTGGAAGGAACAAATAGGCAGATAAAATTAAAGACTAATATTTGATAACCTTTATACTATTTTTTCCTGAAGACCCACTTACTTGTAAACATGCTATTTCCACTCTACTCTCAAATAAAGCCAGACCTTTGTTCAAATCCCTAAAGCTCAAGAACACTGTACTGTGAGAAGAAGAGACAAGGTGCTCTACCCAGGGAACCACCTCGGTGACCTGTACTGGGTTAAAGGTAATACTAAACACAATACGTTAATCACAGGGCAAGCCATAGCTCACTCAGCACAGAAGCTGGGGAAGACAAAGAGAGAATAGAACCAGCCGAGGCTTTTTGGTGACACATGATGAGTAGGAAAGTACCCTGGCTGCTCCTAACACACAGTACTGGTCAAATGGGAAAGCAAAAGGGATAGAAATGCTGCTGAAATGCTCCCTCTTTATTTAGAATCTAAGATAGTCATCTGAGAAGTCTCTCTGTGGAGGAGGCCAGAGCTAGCACGCAGCCTTCTCAAAAAATCTCCACCTCAGTAATGAGAGGACATTGCTTCAGCATTTCCATAAACATGTGGCAGGGAGTTGATAGGTAAGCAGAGATGAAAATGACCCTATTTTCAATCTGGAGGAAATTAAGATACAGTAGGTTCACTAGTATTTACCCAGTTTTTGCCAAAAAGTAAACACCAACCCTAGCGGGGCAAGTGATGGCAGTTTGGGGAGCATGACAAGAGCGCAAACGGCTTGCAGCGGCTCCCACGGTCTACGCTCCTCGCTTTGTGTGGGCCTCACTGCCCTTTCCTTCAGTAACTTTTTAGAATAATCTAAAGCCACTCTTGGCTCTTCTTGGTGGGATCATATTACCTCTCCTTGGCATTCCGGCACAGATATAACAACAGGTGCATTTCATGAGCGTCTAAACCCAGTACTAAATGCTGTAAGTCAAACACAACCCCCAAGAGGAGGTCTAATTGGCGTGTTTTCATCACAGAATTGCGGGTGAACGAAGTCTCGCTGCCTTGGAAGTATGGGGGGAAATAGGGTGATAGAGTGGCGTCTTTCTTATCACGACTCTCTTGGTTGTCTTTTCTAAATTTAGCCTCTATTATTCTGTACGGGACTTCATTCCTCTTCAATCTTGTCCCGTCCTCCCAGAAGATGGACAACAGACCACCCCCAATCGTCAAAACAGGTTATCTTGATAAAGTTGCCGCCTTTAACTAACCAGGGTAAGAATTACTCTTCTCCCTTCCCCCAATGCTGGTCCTTTTCTGAAAAGTCTTTACCTCAACCTGTATCTTCCGAAGGATTTAGGATGCAGGCCCCAGCCTGGTAGTCGTGTTATTTTCCCCTAATAACCAATAATACTCATCACATCCAGGGACCACCAGCCCCCTTTCATTCACCCAGTCTTTCCAAACACCCGCCTCCACGCCCAAGCTCGGCCAATTACAGCACAGCTTGAATGAGTTGAGCGGTAGGCCTACTGGCCAATGAGGAAGGGTAAGGCACTGACTGACAACCGACCCAACCAACCAGCGCCAAAGCAGCAAGTCGCGTTGAAGCTCACTCGGCGTGACGCAAGAAATGGCCAACCCCTGCAGAGCCTGAGCTCAGGGCAACCAATCCGCACCGGTGGGAGACCGTCTCCCGCCCCATCGCGGTCGCCCCCGGCTCGCTCGCCCGCACCCCCTCCATTTCACCTGCTTCTCCTCGCCGGTCTCCTCCGCAGGGTTCTCCTCTTCTTGTTTCTGAGACATGGCGGGGCCGGGGCTGTGGAGTGTAAGGGGCCCGGGAAGTCAAACGGAGAAGGGAAGGGGGAGGGGAAATGGGGACAGCCTGCGCTGCTGCTCCGGCTCCTGTCACTAGGGTTGCTCAGTTAAAATGGCGGCCCTGGCCTGTGACGTTGCTGCCGCCCCTGCCTATGGGAACCAATAGGAGTGAGGTAGATGGGGCAATGACGTAACGATCTACCAATAGTCGCTGGCTAGAGGTGGGGTTTATGGAGGCGACGGGCAAGCTGGAACACCAATCTGGAGCCAATTGGGAGCCCGTGGGGGACGTAAGGGGGCGGGCCTGCTGCGTTTGGCATATTTATTCCTTCAGTGGGATCCGCCTCCGTTCAGCTCCACAGCCCCGCTCCTTGGAACCTTTGCTGAACTGAGAACGGGAGAGCCAAAGGATGTAAACCTTTGTTTTCAGGTGGAGAGGGTTAAGCCTTGCGCAGTGTTGGCAGGAAGTTACCGAGCTCCAGAAGATAATCTGGAGATCAGCGTGGACTTTAAAGTGATTCTCAACACGATCCCGATATGTCCCTGGGTGTGTGGAACCGAGCGACTGAGTTCCCAACCTGTGTCTTTTGCAGAACACAGATGACTTTAGGCTTTGTGATTTAACTTTTATGTATTGTTTTTTTTTTTTTACTTGTTTAAGGTCATCCTATGGACTTGGACTAAGCTCCTTAAAACAGAGCACCGTCCTAATGGTAAACATTTAGTAGATACGATTAACACTCCTTAACCTATCCCGAGTCACATTTCAGTATCTCTCGAGCATTGGTAGATGGCACTGTATGGGTGTTACAGGGGTTTCATATATAGTAAGGCATTCACTCCCCTTCGGTTAGTGGGCATGTGGGGAGGGTTTTCCCAGTATTCCAGGTGGACCCAAGTCCCTAAAATTAAATAGAACCATCTTCCTGGAATGTTAAGTTACATCATTTTTATATTGGAAACAAACATTAGTCTAATACTAATAACACTCTAAAATTCATATTAAAATTTAATTTTCCAGGCAGCTTTTGTGACAGGTAGTCTTGGCTATCAGTTCATTTTTCTGTTAACTAGGTGACCTAAAAAATCTGAGGAACATTGGAATACACAGATTATCATACAAGGCAAAATTTGCTAAGTATTGAAATAAATGTGCGAAAGGAGTTCAAAGGAAGGCTCAGTTTAGGGTGGAAAAAAAAAAGACTGATGGAAGTGGCATTTATTTCAGATACCTGTATTTATTTCAAATATTAGTTTTAAAGAACTTAGGAGTTTGCCAGGTAACGATGAAGGAAGGATATTCTGGGTCAGTGATCGGCAAACTCATTAGTCAACAGAGCCAAATATCAACAGTGAAATTTCTTTTGAGAGTCAAATTTTTTAAACTTAAAAACTTCTAACACCACTTCTTCAAAATAGACTTGCCCAGGCTGTGGTATTTTGTGGAAGAGCCACACTCAAGGGACCAAAGAGCCGCAGTTTGCCAACCACGGTTATGGATGATGGGCTTAGCATAAAGGCTAGAAAGATAGAATTGAGTCCCGAACTTGTGATTAATTTAGTAATCAATAAGAGACAGTTAAGGTTTTTAGGCCAGAGAGTGGCACGTCAAAACTGCTTTTTAGAAAGATTAATTTGGTAGTAATGAACAAAAATAATTCAGAATTCCAAGTAGAAAATACTAGACTAGAGGGGGGTGGTCTGTCCAGGAGTTCACTGCAATACTCTAGGTAGTATGTAGTATTTAAACTAGAAATGTGGTAGTTTAGAATAGAAACAGGGGATGTAATTGAGAGAGTCTGTGGCAATAGAATCTACTAGATTAGTAGCTGATTGAATACAGAGAATAAGGAGGCTGTGTGCCTCAGGGTGACTGTTGCAGAAATAATTCAAGAAGAGGACTAATTTTGGGAATGGAGTTGGAAGCAGACAGAAAATGAGGTGGTCAGTTTTAGAAACACTGCCTCTTTAAAAAGTCAGTGAGTCATTTGGTAGAGATATCTAAGCCAGTGGTCGGCAAACTACGGCTCATGAGCCACATGTGGCTCTTTGGTCCCTTGGGTGTGGCTCTTTCACAAAATACCACGGCCTGGGCGAGTCTATTTTGAAGAAATGACGTTATAAGAAGTTTGAATTTAAAAAATTTGGCTCTCAAAAGAAATTTCAATCATTGTACTGTTAATATTTGGCTCTGTTGACTAATGATTTGCCAACCACTGACCTAGGCAATGAAGACTTAGGATACATGACCTCTGAGAACTCCATATCTAAAATTTTAGCGTTCTAGAAAATGTAAATTAGGAGTTGGGGAGAAAAGTAGAAGCTAAATATGAATAAAATTTGGACCTTTTCACATAAATATTAGTAAAGTTGTGTAAGTAGATGAGACCATCAAAATAGAAAAAATAAGTTCCAAGACAGAAATTTAGCGGAAATTGGCCAGGGTCACAGAGACAGATGATCAGAGTGGTAAGGATAAGAACCAGGAGAAAAGTGACAGAGAAGTTAAAAAATGGAGGGGACAAAAGCTAATCAGTGGTTTAAAAATGGGGAGTGGTAGTAATATTTAACAGCAAGTAAATTAGGGCAATGAATTGAAGAGGAAGCAGCAAAATATTTTATTTTTTGGAGGGTAGACTCAACCTTGTTTTCAGAAAAGGAGAGGGGCTAATTGAGAGAGAAACTAAAAATATAATTATCCTCTTTAAAGAGAAGATAATGAAATAATTAAAGTCTCAGAGGAGATCCTTAGATCAAGAGGGAGAGAGGCAGACAGGTTGGCTTTGGCAATTATAAAGAGTTGGAGGAGAAATGTACAGAGATTGTGAAGTGGCTAAACACGTAAGGAAGTCACATTAAATGGCCTTGCCAGTCTATCTTTTGAGAATATAACGGATGATTGGGTGGGTAGGTGGTCTAAGAGAAATAGGGGTAGAAACAGCTCTATAGAAAATAGCAGTAAGCCCTAGCCAGTTTTGCTCAATGGATAGAGCATAGGCCTGCAGACTGAAAGGTCTCAGGTTCGATTCTGGTTAATGGCACATGCCCAGATTTTGGGCTCAATCTCCAGTAGGGGGTGTGTAGGAGGCAGCCAATCAATCACTCATCACTGATGTTTCTATTTCTCCCTCTCCCTTTCCCTTCCTCTCTCAAATTAATAAAAATATATATTTAAAAAAAAGAAAATAGCAATAATTCACACAGGCCAGGTAGCTCAGTTGGTTAGAGTATTGTCCCAATATGGCAAGATTGTGGATTTGATCCCCAGTCAGGGCACAACCAATGAATGAATGCATAAGTAAGTGGGACAACAAATCTCTCTCCCTCCCTCTTCCCCACTCTCTCTCAAATCAATCATTAAAAAAATAAATAGCAATAATTCAAAAGAATGATCTGAGATTAGATAAGTATGAGTTTGTGGTAGATAGTCCCAACCAGTGTGGCTTTGTGACTTTGGTCAATAACTCCTGGCTGGCTTAGAGTGGAGAAAACAGACAGCCGAAGTTAACTGGGACAAAAGGATTGGTAAAGAAAGAACAGAGGAGAAAAGATCATGAAGAAGTCTAGATTGGTTTGTTGAAATAGCTGACCATAGCATCTAGGCTCTTTAGGAAAGATGGAATATGAGTGATAAATTGGGAGAATAGAAAGGAGTTGACCAAATTGTTATGAGACATACAACGCTCAGATTTGGTGGGAGTGACTGGGAGAGGCAGAAAAGTAGGAGGTTGCAGTGAGAGGCAAATTTCAATTTGTATCTAGGAAGGTGGAGAAATTATAGGTTATCATGAGCTCTAGCCTATGATAATTGTAATTGGTGGCAGATATGGTATGGCTATAAAAGCCAGTGATGTTGATGCAATTAAGTAAATGTGAAGTCCCCAAAGTTGAAGTCTTAGCATAATGACAGGGAAGGTGACTGTGACCCATATATTGAGAATGAGCTGTAGATCTTTAACACATGCATTTTAGTACATAAGGCAGTGCTTTACATTGTAGAGGAATAACTACAATGTTAGGTAGTGTATGACAACAAATAAATTAAATGTCTGAGTGTTTAAAAAGTCATTTCTGCCTAGACCGGTTTGGCTCAGTGGATAGAGCGTCGGCCTGCGGACTGAAAGGTCCCAGGTTCGATTCTGGTCAAGGGCATCTACCTTGGTTGCGGGCACATCCCCAGTAGGGGGTGTGCAAGAGGCAGGTGATCAATGATTCTCTCTCATCAATGTTTCTCACTCTCTATCCCTCTCTCTTCCTCTCTGTAAAAAAAATCAATAAAATATTAAAAAATAAAAAGTTATTTCTGACTGAGCTAGTTGAGTAATGTTTCAGACAAGGTAGTATTTAAGCTGGGACTATGAGGATAAATAGTAAGGTTGGAGATTGGCAGGAGGAGGGAGGAAAGGAAGACAATTTAGAGGACCACAATATCTTATAAAATGTTAGAAGATGACTGATCCATATCTGAGGACAATGGAAAAGGGAAAGAGAAACTATAGCAAGAGTAACAAGTGCCCAGAGGGAGTGAGATCAGGCTAGCCCAGCAAGTCTCCTCTTTCATTCAACCAATTTAATTTAGCAGTCATTATGTGGTAGGTATTGTGCTGGAAGCAAAGATAAAAGAGGGTCTCTGTCTTCAAACTGTTCAGAGATGAGAGAGGAGATAAGGGAGAAAGACAATTCACACTGGATCAGGGTATTAAAGGCAGCCTCCTGGAGGGAATGGCATTGGAAGGAACGGTAGTGGTATATAAGGTAAAAAAAAAAAAAAAAAAAAAAAAAAAAAAAAAAAAAAAAGTGAAGAAACCCTTTTCAGGCAGAGGGAACATCGTGTAAAAACATGCAGAACTTTAAACTTAGAAGTTCCCAGGGAACTTGATGAAAATACAGATTTCTTTAGCCCCATTTTACCCCAATTGAGTCAGCATCTCTTGATTGTGGCCTGGGTATCTATATTTTTATGAAGAAATGTAATCTCTTTTAAAAATATTTTTTTTTATTGATTTTAGAGAGGAAGAGGGAGAGAAAGATAAAAACATCAGTGATGAGGGAGAATCATCAATCGGCTGCCCCTTACCTAGAATGGAGATAGCAACCCAACCTGGGCATGGAATTGAACTGTGACCTCCTGGTTCATAGGTTGATACGCAACCATTGAACCGCACGAGCTGGGTGGAAATCTGTAGTTTTAAAAAGCTTTCTAAGGAGAGACTGAAAATAAGGCTGGATCTTTTGTGGTGCAGAAAGACATGACACTGTGTAGGCTGCTGAGGTTCTGAGGAGACTTGTAAGTCATGTTAAAGGGTTGGGGTTTAATGAAGACAAAGGTGAACTTCTGATTTCAAGCAGGAAAATGGTATTGTTAGGGATGGAATTGGGAAAGATTTTCTGTGGTAGCCATATGGAAATGGGACTGGAGTGGAGAGGAAGACCAGCTGGATCTCTATGATTGTGGGAATCTAGGCAAGACCAGAGAGGCCTGGTCAAAGGCAGAGGCCATGCAAAAGGAAAGGAGCAGAAGAGACAAATAATATTGAAGTGGTGACTAAAGTTGAGGGCAGAACCAAGGATGGATCCCAAATTCCTGAGTGGTGCTATTTGCAGAAAAGCATGGAAAGAGCAGATTGGGGGGTGGGATAGGGAGGGGTGAAGAAGTAGGGTGGGAAGAGGACCTGAACTTCTTACACATTTATTCCTAGTCTTTTGGTCTTTTCTCTTGCTTATGTCTGAATTTTTCAGAGCAGGATCTAAATCTTTTGAGGATGAGATGAGATATCTGGAATGACAATGTACAGATCATCAGTGCAACATTCTTCTGAAAAAATGGCCATAAAAAAAGACTAGAAAAATATCTGGGTTTAAGACACAAGCCATTAGCACCCTCTGATGGCCAGACGGAGAACACCAGGAAATTAACCAAGCTTCCTTTAGAAATTTATGCTATTAGGACTGGCCTTAAGTGTAGCCTAGGGAAATAGCTACATGACCAGAAAACATAGTGTTTAAGAGAATTTTCAAAAAAGTAAAATAATAACTCATATAAGTGAGGGAATTAGAAGATGTTAAACTGATTCAAAAGAGAATCTAAGGACAGACAAATATAGTATAGGTATTTAAGACTGCTGAAATGAAGTTGCTAATAGAAAGTTGGTCAATATCTGAAGGGCATAAAATATAGTGTTTAGAATTATCTTTTTCACAGGGTGTAAATCAATTGTATCTCACTGGACAAAATTCATTTGTCTTTGTAAAAGAATCATTTGCACTGCCATCAGTTTTCTCAACTTACAAATTGTATAATAGTTCTGAGGGAGGATAGTAAGAAGCTAGGAAAATCCCTGGGCAAGTGGGATGGGGAATCTGAAACAAGATAATGAAACAAGGCCCAACAATTTGAACAACTCAAAGCCAGCTAGAATCTGAAGACCTTATCTTCCCTAACTAAGGACACTTGAGAGCAAATGTTTCATACTTCTCCTCCCAAACCAGAGAATACATTACTTAAATCATGCTGGTGGGGGAGATAGGGAACAGAGACCCAACTAATGCCATTTGTGCCAACTAAACCCAATTATGGATGAAGTCAGGGAAACAACAAAAACGTGATTAAATCCAGACAGACTCAAGATAAAAACAAAACAGTAAAGCAGACCAAATAATAATCCCAAACTCCCCTGTATGCTTTTTTTTTTTTTTCATGCATCAGCATATTAAAAACATATCTGGAAAGCAGATGAATATTCTGCTGAAACTGTTGCCTAAGATTCTTGCCCACAGAAGAGAAATAAAAACCTCAAGACAAAGAATATCAGTGCAGGCTCACTCTAGAGCACATCCATGCCCTTTCATGGACATGAACTTTTTACTTTCTTCTAAACTCAACGGTCCTCAAAGACTTGCAACCAGGAGAGCAATAGGCGGCTGCAGCTTGTCCTGGGCTTACCCCCTGATCTTGTCTCCAAGACTCTAGTTCCTCTGACTTTCTAGTGAGCCAAAAGTAGCCTGCCTTGGCTCACTTCTTTTCTATAACATTTCCAGAGAGCCAAAGCAGAGCACCACCTAGGATCTCTCCTATTGCTGCTTCTAACCTAAGTTCTTCCCTTGTTCAGTTGTCCCCAGCTTTAGTGAACACACTCTCAAACCACCTGGACTTGTGTTGTGAAATCTTTCCTGCACAAACTCACACTACCAGCCTGCAGAGGCAGTCCAGCTCCAGGCATGTCCCCAGCTGGTGACAGTTCAAAGACAAAGGAAGGCATAGGTCAGATAACTTCAAAGATTCCTCTAAGACAATACCCAGTCATGTTTTTCCTGTCATCAAGTCTTATAAATTCCCCCTAGAACAGAAAAGCCTCTTTTCATAAATATCTCACTTCTGCCTTTCATTGCATTCAAATTTCAACTAAACTGCAAACATATTACCCAGAAATACCAAATCAACATCAGTTGCCATTTTAAACTTGGATTAAGTAAACAGGTCAATTTTAACAGCTATACATGAAATTTTGGCTTGGAAGGCCTTAGAGAATATCACAGAAAGAAAATTTACATAGCATCTATTGTGTGTCAGCAGCTTACTTCTTGATTTAGTATCTGTATTTTAATATTTATATTTAAAAAGTATTCAGCCAAAAAGGAGCTATTGTAACCCAAAAGAATGGATCACTAGTGAAATTTAATGTGCCACCTAAAGACCTGAGAGAGGTTTGGAGCAGAGGGCTGTCAGTGTGTGTGGGTGGGTGTGTGTGTGGGGGGGAATGGGGAGGAAGAGGTGGGTGGCTGGAGCAAGGGGAAAAGGAGAAGACAAGTTTGGGAGTATCACTGGTGGGAGCCAACCAAGTAGAATGATTCTCTCCAAACTCCTACTTTCTCTCTCTCATTCCCTCATTCTCCTTTCTCCTCATCCTTTTTCTTTTTAGATCGTCTAGACTAGGGGTGTCGAACTCAATCAGAGAAGGGGCCAAAATCTAAAATCCAGCCTAAATCGCGGGCCGAATGGTTTACTGAACAGTCATAAACTGTCATTGTGATGGAAACGCAGCGGAGTGCAGTGATGACAGCGCGGTGCCGGCCACATTGCAAGGCCTGGCGGGACGGATTTGGCCCGCGGGCCTTGTGTTTGACACATGTGGTCTAGACCTTTCCTTCCCAACTTCTTTTTCCTTTTGTTTCAAGCTTTTCCTCAAATAATCCCGCATCTAAGCTTTTTCCTGCTTATCTGAAAAACCTTGTTAAGGTAACACTGGTCAGTGTTGACAGAAGTCAGGAAAGCGTTTACCCTTGGGACTAAAGACTGGAAGGGAGTACAAAGGATTCTGAAGTGCCAGGAATGTTGTGTTTCTTAATCCTGCTGTTAGTTATGTGGTGAGCTCAGTTTGTGAAAATGGAGCTATGCACTTCTCTGCATGTACATTTCAAAGAAAGGCTTAAATCAAAACAAACAAAAGCAGATCCTTTGGGAGTTCATAAGCGTGATGATTGGGTGTTCACGCGGCTGTGTGAGGTGTGCCGCCCATTAACCTTGTTACGCCTTTGGCACATGACCCGTCTGACATGAAAAAAAAAATAAATAAATAAAAAATAAAACAAACAAAAGCAAAACAAATGAACCTCCCCTGTTTAAGTTTCATCTGCTTCAGGGAAGTGAGTGGATAATAAAAGGGGCCATAAAGAAGCATAGGAAATGATCTTCATATTTTTGCCCAGAATCATCGACCACTGCTAATTTTCCAGTCTCATAACTCCAGTTTTGGCTGATGGACAAGGGGTAGTGGCAAGGGGCAGTGGGAATGGAAGTTTGCAGAATGAAACAAATTAAAAACTTAGCTGAACAGAACTTGGTAACCAGTTGAAAGTATGGCCCAGTTGGATAGAGGAAAGGGATAAAAGAAGGCAGGTTAAGTTTAAGCAGGTCATGTGGGGAAAGAAAATCAGGTTTGGGCAATTATGGTGGCAATATATTATGAATGTATTTAAGAGATTAGCTTAAATATCTAAAAAATGAAAAGTTCTCTTGATAAGTACTTTTGATACCAGCTAAGATTGTTCTAACCCCAAGTTCTGCTTAAGAGTAATGTATTAAAACTATGATTGCTAAGGGAATGACTTAAAGTACACTTTCATCCTTGGCATAGCTAAATTGTTGAGCATTAGAAAGGGTGGAACTTAGAATAAAAGAAAAGCCAGAAAATAAAAAGTGGCATTTCACAAAAACTAGCAATGTCTAGCAGTAGTTCTATTTGTGACTGGGTGGGAGAAGGTGATACTTTAGATTGATTAGGAAAGACCTGAGATATGTGAGCAGAAATCTGAATGAGGTGGGGAGTAGTCAAGCAGATAGCTGGAGGAAAACTGGTAAAAGCATGGGGAGGAACAAATGCAAAGCTTCTGAAGCAGGGACACGTTTCTAGTGTATTTGAGAAACATCAATGCCCTGATTGGGAACTGAACTGTGACCTCCTGGTTCATAAATCAGTGCTCAACCACTGACCATGCTGGTCAGACACAGTATTATTTCTAACTGCTCCAAACTATAATAGAACCCAAAGGTTCAAAGTAAAATGGATAAATGATCACAAAAAATAGTTATATAATGTTCAAAAGCAAAACCATTCTATTGTATTAAAAGTCAGGATTATGGCCCTAAACGGGTGGCTCAGTTGGTTGTAGCATTGTCCTGTTCACCAAAAGATTGGGGGTTCAATCCCAGGGCTCCATGGGGCACTTTCATGCTGGAGGACAACCGATTGATATATTTCTCTCACAATGGATGCTTCTCTCTCTCCATCCCTTCCTCCCTTCTACTCTCTGTAAAAATCAATGAGAAAAAAAAAAATCCTAAAGTGAGGATTAACAAATACAAGAATTATGGGAACAATGCTTTGTCTAAAGTCAAAATAACAGGAAAGTATAAACAATCCTAGTGACTACATTTCTTATTGATCCTTGTCCTGTAATCATTAAGAAGGGAGAGTGAGCTAATTATAAGCACAATTATCCTTTCACATGTTAACTCTGTTTTAGTTACCTGTTATCTATATTTGGAACTTAAGACTTCCAGTTCGTAGATAAATTCAGGTGTCATGAGCAAGTAGATATTAATAGGAAAGAACATACACATTCTCTTCATGGTAATAATAGTGTATAATTGGGTAAGTTATTTTTATTAGGATGGAGACATTATTTGGACTGTACAACATTGGTTAGTGTTCAGATTAGCCTTGATGTGCCCTGCCCCCCAGCTTATATATGTTACAATTATATTTGTGTATTCTAATTTTCTACACAGGATGAAACAGAGGTTGGTGTCCTAGTGTAAAGGCCTTGTGTGGAAAGTTCTTTTTTTTTTTCCTTAATATATTTTATTGATTTTTTTACAGAGACGAAGAGAGAGAAATAGAGAGCTAGAAACATCGATGGAAAGTTCTTATTTCCAGCTGAATTAACTGAAGTTATAAAACTGCACAGAGAGACTAGAGAGCCAATATTTTTATTATATAGAAATGTGAAGGCCATATATTTTAAATGAGAAGGTTTGCAGTAGACATTCTGCAGATTCAAGATATCCTCATTTTATTGTGATACAATATAAAAATAAACACGACCAAGAGTTGTGAGAAAGAATTCAACTCAACTTCCATGCCTCCCCCCTCCCCCAATTAAGCTGAAACTTTCCACAGGAAAACCTGGTTTCAATTCATGCCAAATTGTTCAAATGGAAAGAAAAACTAAGGCAGATAGAGACAACACATAGACTGGTTTTTGAATTTTTAAAGAGCCAGACGAAAGCTCAACTCCACCTCACATTGAGAATTTGTTTCATGTTAAAATTTCTCTAGTTACCTAAGTGATAACTGAAGTGGAAAAAAGAAAGTTGAGTTGGCCAATTTTGGGGGTGTTAAACAGGTTTAGAAAGAAGATGTAAATTATTTCTGGTCAGTAAGATTTAATATCAGCTCTAAGTCACCTGTAGTAGCCCTTTGGCAGCCTAGTTCTCTGTAATGGTCAAGAGGAAGGACCCATTACAAGTACCAGCATAATAAATGATTGATATTAGCACAACTTGGTCCTCTATTCCCAAATACTGTACTTTATATCAGTGTGCTTTTTTGGGGGGGAAAGGAGGTATGCTTTTGACATCAAACTGACCCTCCAAATGGGATTTTTCTTTTCTTTTCTTTAAATATATTTTATTGATTTTAGAGAGAAAGGGAGAGGGAGAGATAGCAACATCAATTATGATAGAGAATCATTGACTGGCTGCCTCCTGCATGACCCCTACCGGGGATCGAGCATGCAACTCAGCATGTGCCCTTGGCCAGAATCAAACCTGGGACCCTTCAGTGAGCCAAACCAGCCAGGGCACCAAATAGGATTTTTCTTAATAAGCTTCTCTTTCACTACTAAATTGAAAAACATTTTAGAGATGTGACTAGAAAGATGGTTGTGTTGAAACAAGACTAATGACTAGGAAGGTATCTGTGGATTAAATATAAACAAAATTACATCCAGAATGTTTAAATATAGATAGAATTTATTAATTTATGCAGAAAGCAAAAAATAGAAGACAAAGAAGACTTGAAGTTTAGATATATTATCTAGATTCAGGATGTTGCTATTCAGCAATTGAAATGTACAGCTTTCTCAGTTCAATCAGAGCAGAAAGATTTAAAATTGTCTGGAGGAATCAGGATAGTCATGTGCTAAAGGATGGAAATTCTGATACCACTTGCTTCCTCTAGAAATTGTAATGCTAATTGGATGAAGGAAGAAGTGAGAGATATTTTTTTTTCACTTAGATTTCTGTCCAATGATGGAGTAGGATAATGCTAAGAAATAGGTTAGAATATATTTCTGGTTATAAGGCTATGAAAATCAGGTAATCAAATTTGGAATATTCTCATTAGGATAGAACAAGAAAGTGAGAAAATTACTAACAGGAAATAAAATCCCAGAGACCACCTACTCCAAAAACTAGTTTGTTTCCATTTATCCTTATACAGAGAGGCAGTTATTTCTTTCTTTCTTCTTTTTTTTTAAAATATATTTTATTGATTTTTTACAGAGAGGAAGGGAGAGAGATAGAGAGCTAGAAACGTCAATGAGAGAGAAACACTGACCAGCTGCCTCTTGCACACCCCCTACCGGGGATGTGCCCGCAACCAACATACATGCCCCTGACCAGAATCGAACCTGGGACCTTTCAGTCCGCAGACTGACGCTCTACCACTGAGCCAAACTGGTCTCGGCGAGAGGCAGTTATTTCAATAAGCTACATTACCTAGCAGAACCTGAGAGACAAAGACTGAAGACATCTATTTTAGATAGGAAACAGACTTAAAAATGTAATAAATGGTTTGCTCTATATTTCATTCACAATGTGTGGCTGGAAAATAGCAAACACCACTTAGATAATCTTGCTTATTCAAAAGCACACTAGGTTGAAGTAAACTAAGAAATGAGAGAAAATGTTTATTGGAGATGTGTGGGCTCAACCCCAGTTAATTCACCTCTGGAGTGGAAGTATAGGGAGAAAAAGTCTGCTTATAAAGGTCAAGGTCTATGGAGAAGCCCTGAAGTTGCTTGCCCCAAATCACAAGTCTGATTCAAGAGAAGAAAATGATGAAAAACATCTCATCAATCACACAAACTCAGTGATAGTGTCTCTGATAGTCACCAGCCCAGCAGGGGAGAAAGGAGAAACCCACCTGCTGGCTTTAGGATTTATTGAAGGCTGCCAACACAGCCCAGATCATCTCTGTGGCACTGTGCTTTGTCCCTTCCACTTCAGGGTCCAGTTCTACTAGGTCCTTGGCTCGATTCATTGCCACATCATACTTGTCATCTGTCAGAGAGGAGAAGACATTTTCTAGTACATCGGAGGAGTGGGCTAGCACCAGGAGTGCTAGTGTTCGCTTGTCCATGCGCTGAGGGTCATTTACCCACCGCTCTAGGACACTATCTTGAAGTTTTTTCACTAGTCGCTGTTTCTCTGTTGTGTTGGTCACCGGATGAGTAGTCATATCAAACAGGAGGAAATTCTGCTTCTCCGTGGTTAAAATGCCTTTCTCTACTAGGTTCTTTGCAATTCGCTCTCTTACATTTCTTAGCTGGTATTGTAATTTGAAGGGGTTCCAGGTCTCACCTATGGGAAAAGAAACGAAAACTTGGAACAACACTATAAACAAACCAGACCAAACAAGACATCTTTTAGAACATTCCACCCTTTAACAGCAGAATATACATTCTTCTCACGTGCACATGGAGCATTCTCCAGGAGAAACCATATGCTAGGCCTTAATAAACTTAAAACAGCTGTAATAATTTTAAAAGGACTAAAAATAGACAAAGTATGCTATTCAACCACAATGGAATTAAATAAAAAATTATTAAAAGAAGGAAATTAGGAAAATTAAAAAATATATGGAAATTAAACCACATGATCTGAAATAATCAATGGGTCAAAGAAGAAATCACAAGGGAAATTTAAAAAATACTCTTGAGTTGAATGAAAATGAAAACATAACATATCAAAACTATGGGATGCACTTTAAAGCAGCGTCAAAAGAAAAATTTACAACTCCAAGTGCTATTCTAGGAATGATGTCAAATCAATAATCTACCTTAAGAAACTATTTTAAAAAGAGCACTAAACCCAAAGCAAGCAGAAGAAAGGAAATGGTAAAGATTGCAATGGAAATAAACATACAAAATAAAAACAATAGAGAAAATATATCAAGAGTTGGTTTCTTTTTTTATTATTTTTAAAATTTCTTTATTAAGGTGTTACATAATGTGTCTTTAAGAAGTTGGTTTCTTAAACAGAAAACTGACAAGCCTAGACTGACCCAGGAAAAAAGAGAGAAGACTCAGATTACTACAATTAGGAATGAAAGAGGAGATATCACTATTGACCTTAAATAAAGAGGGTAATGAAGGCATACTATAAATAGAGAAAATTCTGACTAGATCAACAAATAAACAGAGTGAATAAGTAACTTTAAAACTTTCCACAAAGAAAAGTGTGGAAATATATGACTTTACTGGTAATTCTACCAAATATTTAAAAAATAACGCTAATCCTTCACAAATCTTTCCAAGAATCAGAAAAGGAGGAAATACGTACTTACTTAATCTATATGGTATTACTCTGATACCAAAACCAGACAAGGACATCACTAGAAAATTACACACCAATATCCCAGGTATAAAATACTCAACAAAATACTAGCAAAGCAAATTCAGCAACATATGACAAAGACTGTATAACATGACCAGTGAATCATCTGTTTCTTATTGGGCCCCTTTAATTTCTGCACTTCTTTTCCTGACCTTAAGAGTAGGACAAAGATAACAAAGTGTGGGGCTTCTGAATCATTTTGAGCCATCTTACCGGTGAGTAGCTCTATCCACGTCTGGACAGTTTCTGTGGGTTCAGTGGCTTTGATATGTTTAAGAGTTTCATCCAGTAAAACATCACCTGTTGGGCTGTCTGACTTCAGTAGTACCTTTTAGGAAAGAAGATACCAGGGTGCCTGGTTCATTCAATTCATTCAAATTAAAATCTTTCAATAAACCATATGTACATTATTGGTTAAATATTATAGAAAATGCAAAGCAGTATAATATATTGTCTCTGTTCTCAAGAAGTTGAAACATTGCCCTAGCCAATTTTGCTCAGTGGATAGAGTGTCTATCTGCAGACCAAAGGGTCCCTGGTTTGATTTCAGTTCCTTGGTTGCAGACTCCTCCCTATTCAGGGCTTGTGCAGGAAGCAACCAATTGATGTGTCTCTCTCACATCGACATTTCTCTCTGTCTTTCCCTCTCTCTAAAAATCAATGGAAAAATATCTTCAAGTGAGGATTAAAAAAAAAAAGGTTGAAAAATCTAGTATGGGGAGATAGTGAGGAGACAAACATAACATTTGATGAGGACCCTAGTGACAAACCAAATATAAATAATAATGGAGAAGAGATTCAATAATGATTCTTTGAGTCTGGAAAACCTACTTGCAAAACAATCCATAAAGGTAGAAAATCAGGAAAAGAAGCCAGTTTTGGGGAAAGTAAAGTTTGGTTTTAACTGATATGAGAGAGCCAGTTGAAATGCCTAGCCAATAGATAAATATTTTCCGGGGGCTGACAAAAGAAGATAGGCCTGCCTGGCCAGTGTTGCTCAGTGATGAACGTCAACCATGAACCAGGAGGTAGCAGTTCAATTCCCAGTCAGAGTACATGCCAGGGTTGTGGAATGTATCACCAGTAGGGGGCCTGTAGGAGGTATCTAGTTTTGCTCAGTGGATAGAGCTTTGGCCCTTGGACCAAAGGATCCCAGGTTTGATTCTGGTCATGGACATGTATTTTTGTTGCAGTCCCCCGGCCCTGGTCGGGGTGTGCGCAGGAGGCAATCAATTCATGTGTCTCTCTCACATTGATGTTTCTCTCTTTCTTCCCCTCTCCCTTCCACTTTCTCAATGAAAAATATCCTTAGGTGAGGATTAACAATAAAAAAAAGAGACATCAATGATGAGAATCATTGACTGACTGCCTCCTGCACGCCCCACACTGGGGATAGAGCCCATAACCCGCGCATGTGCCCTTGACCAGAATAAACCAGGGACCCTTCAGTCTACAGGCTGAAGCTCTATGCACTGAACCAAACTGGCTAGGACTAAAAACATATTTAAAAAAATTTTTTTTAAAAAGATTAGCCTGGGATTTAATAGTTAGTATATGGAGGTAATAAATGAAGCTGTAAAAGTAAATGATACCTTTAAAGGATAGAAGTTACACAAAGGGTTATAAGCTGAGACTTAGATGTTTAGGAATGGAGAAGTAAAGGAAATAGGGTACAGCTAGAGAAGCAAGAGAATCTATATATATAAAAGCCTAATATGCAAAGTGTCCCCTCAGGAGTTCAATCACTTACTATGATGTGTGCTGACCACTAGGAGGCAGTGCAGAATGAAGGAAGCCCTGGCTGGCAGCCAGGAAAGGGAGGCCCCGGCCAGCAGCCAGCAGCCACGAGGGACCCTACCAGTGCAGAATTTCGTACACTGGGCCTTTAGTGTAATATAACAGAGACCAAGAATAAATAAAGTTTCAGGTAGGAGAAGGTGGTCAAAGTGTCAAATGCCACATCAAGGTTAAAAGAGAAAAACTGAAAAGAAGCTGGTGATACATAAGAATGTGGTTTCAGTGCTAAATGCTAAGTATGAAAATGAAAGTGTGAGTAGAAAAAAAGAAAAAAAGAAAAGAAAATGGAGACAGTTGTATGACTAACATGCTGCATAGGACTTGTAGTAAATGGAAGGAGAGAAATTGAACGACTATCTGAGGATGACCAGAGTTTAGCAAAGACTGGACCTGACCGACGTGTTTACATACTCTTATATAATACTCTCTTCCATGTTAGAGCTATAGCTATAGAGGGAGGAATAATCAACAGCACCTTAAATGTGATATTCTGCATAAAAAAGAAAGACAAAAGTATGAACTTCTTGAAACTCTTTAGACTATGGATTCTTGGATTTCTCCCTCTGATATAGAATAATTAAATCTATGAGACAATGGGACAGCTGAGTCCCCTTGTCTCACTACTCAAATCTTTCTATGCCTCCTAAATGAACCACTGGCACCTGCCCTTTCATAAACTCAGAGAATGTTCACAGAGGATGCTGTACCTTTCTGTCTAGAAGTCGCTTCTTACGCATGGTGGGGGGTTCCAGATAGATACGACCCCTCATGGCCAGCTCTATCAGGATGCCTCCTCGCAGGCCAGATGATATGCAGTCATTCCAGAAAGATGTGTAACCCTAGGAAAAGAGAAGAGAAAGAATGTTCTGAAAGAGATATGGACTTGCAGCAAGCACCCTAAAGGATGGTATTCTCTGTTGTGATTTGTTTCAGGTCATATTACATGAACTCAAAGCAAAGTATACAAATAAAGGAATCTCTTTAATTTCCTTAACCTACCCTCTCCCCAATTATGATTTTCTGTCTGACTTTTAAGTTCTTTGTGTATTTGGCTATTAGTTAATAATTGGCAAGTCAAATTTTAATTTCTGAGAATTTTTAAAATCTGTTTCCATGACACTCCCAATTCGGAGGATGCAAGTGAATTAAACAGAAAAACTTACAAACCATTTGAGTATTTTATTCCTCCAAGATATGTATTAATAATACAAGCTATTTTGAGGTGTGATATAGTTGAAATCCAGCTCTAACACTGACTAGTTAAGTTCCTTGGATACATGACTTAACCTTTCTCAAGTGATTATTTTTATGTCCTCATCTGTAAAATGGGGACACTAATATCTTTATGTTTGCTATGAGGAATAAATGAAATGTTATATACAGAAAGAATTTATTACAGGGCCTGGCATATAGTAGGCACTTAAATGTTACTTCCCTTCCCTAGGTGCTAGGATACAAAGACATGTACGAAATAGCCAACTTATCTTAACGAACTGAAAATCTAGCTGCAAAGACCATGCAAATTTCAGAAAAGTTCTGTGTTAATATAAAATTTAAATAAAAGCTCATTGTAAAAGCAGAAGAGATAGGCATAAATGACTGTTGTAAGTTTGGTTTAGATGATAGTTTTTCAAATTATAAGTCACTTTTAGGCTAGAGTAGCCAGGAACTCTCATGGGACCTGAGCAGTGGTTTGAAGAAAAAGATTGAAGAATTTGGCAGAGAGAGAGGGCTTTCCTCCAAATTTCACCTATTCTTCAAGAGGGCATTTTAACTAAAGGGTCAAGGAAGGAGATCTAACTCAAGGATTTAAAGAGAAATAACAAGATCAAGTTGGTTGGGGCAGTGGTGGTTGATGCTTTAAACTTTTTATTGAAAGGCAGTATTGAATCTTAAAGGTTCTGAGCAAGGAATTATGATTAATGCAAGGAACACCTATCAGAGCTGTACAACACTCTTTAGCTATCTTTGGTTATAGCATTACCTCTCACTGGAGAGAAGCTGGGTGAGATATTGGCAGGGACAGTCTATCATGGCTTTAAAGCAACCCCAAAACTAATTACTGTAATAGCAGTAAATATTTTTTTTTATTAAACTTTAAAATTTTTCCTTATTATTGATTTGGAAATTAAATACTCCACTTTTCTTTAGGAACATTATTCTTGACATTTTAACATGCAGCATAACAACTTAAAATTACTACAAGATCAGATTTATTTTTTAATTGAGTCAATATAGTAACCACTGTCCTAGTTGAGCAATATTTTATCTTTTTTTAATCTCACAAGTTAGACATTATTAGCAGCATCATTACTTTATACAGGTAGCACTTGTTTAGATTTACTCAGATGCTTACCAATTTCCTTGCTCACCATTCCTTCTTGCATCCCAGACCTCCTTTCTGGTACCATTTTCCTTCTTCCTAAAGTAGAATTTCCTTAAGTGAAAGTCTGTTGGAGGCAAACTCTGTTTTGTTTATCTGAAATGTCTGAATTTTATCATTATTCTTGAAAGACAGTTTCTCTGGACATAAAATTCTAACTTGATAGTTTTCTCTATCACATTAAAGATATCTCTTCCTCTTCTAGCTTCTATTGTGCAAGTGAGGGATTTATCATTGTTCTTTGCGCATGTTCTTTGCGGGTTATTTGCCTTTTTCTTTGGTCCTTTAAGACATTCTCTCTTGATGTTTTCCAGTTTGATTACAACATGACTGTGTGCATTTACTTATTTGGGATATGCTTCTTATATCTATATTTCTTAGTTCTTAAAAATTCTGTTTTTATCTCTAAGAATTTTGGCTTTCCTCTATTTTCTTTATACTTTCCTTCTGGGACTTTCATCTTTCTTATCCTAGCTCCCCATGTCTTTTAACCTCTCTCTTTAAAAAAAAATATTTTTATTGATTTCAGAGAGGAAGACAGAGGGAGAGATAGAAACATGAATGCTGAGAAAGAATCGTTAATCAGCCGCCTCCTGCACACCCGCTACTAGGGATGGAGTCCACAACCTGGGCATGTGCTCTTCACCTGAATCGAATCCAGGACCTTTCAGTCCACAGGCCGATGCTCTATCCACTGAGCCAAACCAGCTAGGGTTTAACCTCTCTTTTTGTATTTTCCATTTTCTCTGTCTCCATACTACTTTCTGAAGAGTCATTTCATATCTAGCTTGCCATTTATATTTAATATGTTAAATTACCCCTGAGATTTTGGTTTCAACTACTCTTCATTTCTAAAATTCTATGTAGTTATTTTTTACATTTGCCTGGTCATTTGTGATCGTTTCTTTTTGTTGTACCTTTAATTCTTTTATTTCTTTAATAAATGTCATATATTTTATTATCTGATCTGAAGTCCTTGAATGACCTATTATTTGTTATTTCTCCTGATTCATTCTCATGGGTATTTGATTATCTGTATGACTGATGGTAGTTGATTAAGACATCCATATTTATTTTTTTGTGAAATTGCAAGATTGTAGAGACCTAAATTGAGGATGTCTTCCTCTAGAGGGGAAGATCTGCATTTGCTTCTGCTGAGAGTTGGGCATGGGAGGTTTGAGGGAATGCCCCACAACTGGGACTTCATTTATATATAGCTTCCTGCTTATATCTTAAACCCAAGATTTATTTCTGACCACCAAATTCCTGAATCTCTGAACTGATTTGGCAAGTTGCCCCAGAACAAATTAGTTTATTGCTTACCTCTAGGATTTAAAAATTCTTTTTTTTTGGGGGGGGGAGGGGTTGAACATTTCCTTTACTTTCTATTACACATTTGACATTAAGTTTACTCAAGACTTAATATCTGACCCCTATACTGACAGAGGTAGGGGTTTTCCAATTCCATAATTTCCCTAGCCAGGATGATGTTTAAGCTCAAATCTAATTTATAACTCCCTTCCCCTCTGCTTAAAAATCTATAAATACCCCTCTCAGTTAAGTCCAAACTCCTTGTTTTAGTAAAACCTCACTGTAATGGAATAATTCAGGCAAGGATGTGTCCCTTATAGTTGAAAGTCCATTATTAATAAAATAGGTTTTCTGAAAGCCTATGTTAAAAAATTGACAAATTAGCTTTTCACGTATGTACACACATTAGTTAGCTTTTCACGTATGTATTATACACACATTAAGTATGTATGAAAAGTTTAGTTTCACAGAGAAGTTTTCTATATGTATTACAGTAATTTTAAATTTATACTGAATAGGTCTAGCAAAAATGTGCATTTGCCAGACACCGTGGGTAAATACAATAAATGCACAGGGCTGGGAGGAGGCTCAGCGAACATTGGGAACACAGGGAACATTGACTGGCTCCTTAAATCTGCTGCAGAAAGTCACGTCACAAGATGACAGAACCAATTAGCCTTTCGATGTAGTGTGATCACATGTGCCTGAAACCGATCATTGTCTCACTAATAGCTAGTTATTCAACATACACTGTTTGCGAGCAGTGACTCTTGGATTTAAATATGTACACTATAATTGTAGATATATAATATTTATTTATGTCAGCAAAATTATTACAGTGTTTTCCCCAACATATGCCTTATTCACTGAAGTTTGTTAAAAGTAACAGCGAATTAATAACAAAAAATAACCTGTAATGATAAGCAAATCTTGGTTAAAAGCATTTTAAAATTAACAGGGTGGCATTTTCCACAGGACATACAGATCGAAGTCTTCTCCATTAAATCCGAAGTCTGCTAAATCAAGGTCCACAAAATCTGTTTGAGAACTGTATAGCACTCAAATCAGGAGGCTACTGTTCTCTTTCTGGCCTCTTTCCCCTAGAACAGTGGTCAACAAACTGTGGCTGGAGAGCTACATGCGGCTCTTTGGCCCCTTTGAGTGTGGCTCTTCCACAAAACACTACGTGTGGGCGCGCACGTACAGTGCAATTGAAACTTCGTGGCCCATGCACAGAAGTCGGTTTTCGGCTCTGAAAGGAAATTTAAATTGTTGTATTGTTGATATTTGGCTCTGTTGACTAATGAGTTTGCTGACCACTGCCCTAGAACACTAAGCTCTAGCTTTCCAAAACTATTTTCAATACTCTTAATTCATCATTTTTTGCCTACTGGCCTTTGCATACAGAAAGTTGTTATTATTTATTTATTTATTTATTTATTTTTAAATATATTTTGATTTTTTACAGAGAAGAAGGATGAGGAATAGAGAGTTAGAAACATCGATGAGAGAAACATTGATCAGCTGCCTCCTGCATACTTCCTACTGGGGATGTGACCGCAACCAAAGTACATGCTCTTGACTGGAATCAAACCTGCGATCCTTGAGTCCACAGACTGATGCTCTATCCATTGAGCCAAACCGGGTTGGGCAATTGTTGTTTTTTAAGAAATATATTTTTATTGATTTTAGAGAGGAGGGAGAGGGAAAGAGAGACAGAAACATCAATGATACAGAATTACTGATCAGCTGCCTCCTGTAGCCCCCTACTAAGGATAGAGCCGGCAACCTGGGCATGTGTCCTTGACCAGAATTGAACCTAGGACCCTTTAATCCGCAGGATGATGCTCTATCAACTGAGCCAAACCAACTAGGGTATAAAATTTTTTAAATTTTTTAATGATTTCAGAGAGAGAGAGGAATATCAATGATGAAAGAGAATCACTGGCTGCCTCCTGCACGCCCCACAGTGAGGATCGAGCCCACAATCTGGGCATGTGTAATGTGAGCATGTGCCCCAACTGGGAATTGAACCATGACCTCTTGGTTCATAGGTTAACGCCCAACCACTGAGCCACACTGGCTAGGCCACACACAAAGTTGTATAGAAAAAGCAATACTTTTCTTTCTTCTCCTTCTTCTTAA